TGTGTGTTGTGTGTTGTGTGTTGTGTGTGTGTTGTGTGTGTTGTGTGTGTTTTGTGTGTTTTGTGCGTTGTGCGTTGTGCGTTGTGCGTTGGTGTTGTTGTTGTTGTTGTTGTTGTTGTCGTCGTTGTTGTTGTTGCTGTTGCTGTTGCTGTTGTTCTTGTCGGTGTTGGTGTTACCCCTGCAGCGTTTTTGCTCGGTTCCGTAGTGGCCGAAAATCGTCAAATCGGTGGTGTTTTCGCGTGTGTTTGCATCGCTCGGAGCAAAAAACACCGTAAATACCAATGTTTTTGGCGGGTCGGAAGCCCAAAACCACGGTATTTACGATGTTTTTTGCCTCTGGTAGTAAAAAGCACGGTATTTACAGTGTTTTTTTGGCCAGCACCTAGCAAAAACACTGGTATTTACGGAGGTTTCACCATGTAGCAAAATGTGGTTTCTTGATCCGAAAAGAACAAAAATACTGTAAATTACAGTATTTTGAGTCTGCTCTTAGGGTGCGTGGGAGGTGTGGAGGAGGGGGGGGGTACTAAAATGACTAGCAATCTCCTGAAGAATCAGGTAACGGGGCTGGCCGCCCTCCCCTTTACTTCGTAAAGTAAAACTCAAGGTAGCCCCTCTGGAGCTACCTTTCGTGATTTGTTTCTCAAAAGTGTCCTACGTGACTGCATTCGGGTTCGTGGGCTGCATCGTGTAAAAAGTACCAATAATTCCTACTACCCAAATACCCTAAATCCATAAGGGTTCTTCGAAAAGAAATTATGTGTATATATATATATATATGTAATTAAATTGTTTCATTTATTTTTTAGATATAATTTGAATTTTGTTTTATTTATATATATATATATATACTTATACTTATATTCATTCAATTAAAATTATATCAATATAGTACTTATTTTATTTTATTATGAATATTCTAAATCTATATTTTATAATGTGGCCAAATTCTGGCAAAGGCAATCAGCATCGAACTCAAATGTTCGATTGTTAAACTATCAGCTCGCTTATTTATCACAAGTGCCAGCAAAGGAGTTGGATGCGTCTCAACACCCAGCAAGCCACAAGTCCATGCAAAAACAGACAAACTTTCAGATGAAAATTTCCTGAGCTCTTCCAAATCAGATGTTAAGGCTTTCAGCAATGGCAGGGAAGAGGTCCTTTGACCCAGAACTGCCAAAGCCCAAACAGATATTGATAGACTTTGCTCGTCCCAATCTGAGGAGAAGTTCGACGCCCGCGTTGCAATTGCTTTGGCAAAGTCACGTAAATCCAAGTCCCGATCTTGACGGACTAGAGCCCAAAGAATGTTCGCACAGTTCTGAGCCTGGGTTGCCAAGCCCAAGACTGGCCTCACCATTTTTGCGGAAAATGGAAGTGTCTTGAATAAAACCAAGGACTCTTGCAAATGTCAGGACTTTGTACTGTTGTCACCCTGGACACCTCCTGACTATCCCCATCTCTGAAGGACCAAGCAGCTGAAAAGCTGTGACTAGGCAGATCCTGAAAGCATTCGCAGACCTTTGGAAAGAGCACATCAGTCTTGATGCCCAAATTTGCCAAGGCCCATAAAGCATTTGCAATGTCCTAATCCAGGATGGTCCAGGCTGTCCATCCGGAACTGGAGCGGTTGTTTTTTTCGAATATGCGGGTGTGGTTAGCATTGAATAACCATCGTGTTAGGTGAAGAAGCAATAGCCAAACACTTCAAAATCTGGGCATCCGTATTTTGGTTGGTCAATGTGGCTGATTTTTGCCTCATCATCTTGCGGGTCGCGCGATTTCCAGGTGGGTCCTGTCCATTGCATTGCTGGAGCTGCTGAGTTAGAGAGTAGGACACCGCTTCAACAAGGCGTAGACGTAGACCTGTGGCGATCAGCGATGTGGGATCTGGTGGGGCAAGGGCGGCAACAATCTGATTTGGGGATTGCGCAAAAATGTGGAACCTCAGTGCATCCCATGGTTCATCAATGTTCATGTCATCTTCCCCCAATTTGATGGCCCAATGCACTGAGACAAACCTGCCTTCATCCAAGGCGATGACCCCATGAGATGGTTCCTCCCGAGGACATGGAGCTGATTTGGTGTTATGATTGATTGGAATCATTGGAATGCACCCCATACGAAGTGGATCGTTTATATGAAAAAATTCCAGAGCATGACTCGATTTCTGAGCATGTGAGATCTTCTGGGATTTTGAATGATTGTTATGATCTTGTTTTATTATCTTTTAGCACCTCACGTTTTGAGCTAAACTCATGATTTCATTCCTCCAGGAGCTGATTGTCAGACAGCAATAGACAGCTTGCGGCTTGCCTGCTGAGCTTCAAGGGTTGCCACCGCCCAAAGGATGTTGGAGGCCCCCTGAGGCGCCAAGTTGCCAGCATGTTGCAGCACTTTGGGCACCAGTGCCGCCAGCAGCTGCTCCACCGTTGCCCTACGAATGGAGGGAGCCAAGGTCGCCAAGCCCCAGAAAGTCATCGACAGACCCTGCGGAGCAAAGTCCTTTTCACAGGCTGCCTCCATCAACCTTTCGAGAAAGCCAGAGCCTTGAGGCCCCGGGCAACTCATGGTGGCTACGGCCCAAATGGTGGTGGCCACATCGTGATCAGAATAGCTTTCCAGAATGGTGCCTTGATGCTGGGCAGAGCTCTCGATGACCCGCAGCCCACCCATGTGACGACCTGATGAGGCAAAGGCCCAGCAGACTTGGGAAAAGTCACGAGCGTTGCAGCGACCGTGTCTCCACGGCTGGTGGCAGGCGACTTCAACCTCCTGGAAAAGGGCCCTGGTCAGCGGATGCTCATGGCGTATGGCTGCAGTGGCCCAAAGCAAGTTAGCACAGTAACGGATTGGCAAGGCTGTGGAGTTCAAGTGAAGCCCTGGCAAAACTCGACCCAGCAGCTGCTCCAAGAGATCTTTGCTCATTGGAGGTCTGGCCTTTGCCATGGCCAAGGCTGCAACGGCCAGTTCTTGCGCCCCAAAGCTCTCCAAATGCTGCATTGCTTCACCATAACAAAGCTTCCAAGCTGCCAACTCGCCATCGCCGTTCTGCCGGCTCAGCAGACTCAAACGATGCAAGGCAGCAGCGCAGAAGACTCCATCGATGAGGTTTTTGGAATGGCTGGATTTCACGACTCGGATCAGAGCTGCAGGTTGCCTGCAACGACCCAACGCTTTCGTCGCTTCTCTGGAGCTTTGCCAAAGTCTGCGTTGGGTCTTTAAAAGAACCTGGTTTCGACGAGCGAACCGGCAGTAGTTGCCGGCTTTGAGCATAGCGAAGCTGAGGAAATAGAGTCACATTGACATGGACGCTTCTCACGCAGAGAAACAGGTGTAGTGTTGCTGCTGCACCATGAGATCATGAAGCCAGAGGTCCTTTTTGCACCCAGCTGCGATCTTCACAGCCTTTGATCATGGCATCGTCATCTTTGGACGAAAAGATCAATCGATTCACTGCATGGCCAAGGACACGTTTAGATTTCGTTGGCTACCTGCACAAGAGCAGTGGCAACAACATGCAGACATGCAGAAATATGCAGAAATAATCTCTGTTTAAATCTAAGTCCCTGAGTTATGTCGTCAGTTCCTACGGAGAAATTCACATCCACGGATTACCCATGGCTCCATCGGACTCCATCGGACTCCATCGGCACCTGCGGTCTTCATCGCATGTCGCACGCGAATTGCATAAGCTCCCAGGATGATCAAAGAGGTCAGTGCCAATCGCAGCCAGGCTTGCCAATGACCTAAGCTGCAGTTGCTGCAATGTTTGCTGCCGAATTTCAGGATACCCTCTGGTAAACTAACATAGCAATGGAAAATCACCATTTTTAATGGGAAAATCCACTATTTCAATGGCCATTTTCAATAGCTATGTTAAATTACCGGAGGGTATTGGTTTGGGAATGCTTACTCTCCAGGCGCATCCAAGACACACTGCGAAAGCAGGTAGCCATTGATGGTGAGTCCCAGCAAGGGGATGCTCGGGCAGCCGGGGCATGCGAAGGTGGAGGGCCTGCTATATTTGAGGAGGAAGAAAGGACACCAGCAAAGCAATGCCTCCAGAGTGCCAGGAACAAACTGACCTGTCTTCTCAGGTCAGGTCTGGTACCCCGGTACAATCATGATGTCATAGGCCCTATTAGGCAAATGAAGGATGAAAAAGATGTGGTTTGGGCACTATCTCTGCATGTCATTGTGTATATAGCGTGGTCCGATCTCTTGGAAGTATCAATACTCTCACCTGATGCTGTTTTCATGTCTTTTTCCTGACGGAAATGTGTCTCAAAATGTTTGCATCATTGACTGCTCGTGATTTCACCGCTGTCATTTTCAATCCTCACATCAATTGCAGGTCTGGTACTGCTATGAGTACTTCGCCCGTTGATCGATGCTATTGCCCTGCTCCCCACCACACCCCAGGACATGCTGATGACAGGAATGTCAACATGAGTTTACTCTCCGTACCATGTGATTGCCATAGTTCTGAGGGGTTGGAGAAGCCTCTATGTATATTATACATATATTATAGTTAAGACTGTTAAGAGTGGCTTGTCAATATGCTGAAAGTGTCACCAGTGCCCCTCCTTTCACGCCATGATGCGATCACGCCAAAGACACTGGTCCCAACGATGGCCAGGTAATTCTCCGAAGAACTGGGCGTGTGTAAAAAACCCGTCGTCCCAAAAGATATGACCGAGAGTATCAACCAAGCAGTATGATCAGTATGCAAAATAGTAAATATATGTTTTAGTATATGTTTTAAAATTAAAATATAAGCAGTTTAACTATATATAGTTAGTACATATAAATAGAGTATAGTTTTGAATAAACATCAATAAACCAAGTAGTAGAACCCTCTAACATCCTCTAACCCTCTAGCCATCAAAAATGACCAGCTCAAACTCTGCGATCCCCACGATGTCGCTGAGTTCCTGACATGTAGGAAGAACAAAGCGATGCTGCGACTGCCGCCAAGGTCCTGAAGTGCTACCAGCTACCAGTCATTCCGGGCGATGGCAGCGGCTAGTCACGGCTAGTCCTGGTTCATTTCCCCCCATGAACGTTGAAGAAAGGGGGTTCACCCATACCCAAAGATGTAGGAATGTAGGGATTTGACCCATACCCAAAGAAAGATGTTGGCACTGAAGGTTGAAGGCTCGTGTTTCAAGGTGGGATGTTCTCTTTTTCCTGGAACAACTGGATACGTGTCACGAGTGCATGCCCAAAAAGTCATGGTGAATGACAACAACGACACCAAGTTCAATTCAAAAGAAATCCTAGGGAAAACACAACACAACGCAGCTTCTTCAGTCATATCTTGAATCCTGAAGTTCCCGACGAGGCTCCATCCCTTACTCAAGGATCCTCTACTAATGCCATGCGGACTTCAATTGACAGGTGGCTATCGGCCCAAGTTGAATGTTGCTACCAAAGCCGGGATGTTCACCCCATTTCTAGGGACCAAAAAAGCCCAAAAAAATATCCATGTGTGTTGGTTCAATACCCCGCTGGCGTTTTGGAAAACGCAGAAAAGGATACCTCTTTATCCATGCTGGTCATATCATGTCATATCTGTATTGACTGGCGTACCCAACTTCTTGTTCCCTACACCGAACCTCCACAACTCCCGTACTGTTTGTTGCCTAAACATGCCTAAACCCACTTAGATCACTTAGATCGCCCGTTGTTTATTGAATAAGTGCATAAACCTCCATATCTTGAAACTGCCAACCATCAACTACTCTTTGTATATTGTGGTTTGGAATCTTGGGACCGTAGTGGAAGAAACCATCATTATGGGGCCCATGATTCCAAACCTCTGCATCGAAAAGAAATCCACAAATCAATACATATATTAGCTACTTCATCCTTCGATCACCGTCAATCTCTGCCTTTTCCTCGGTAATGACAACTCATTGGCGAAAAAACCATCCATCAGGCCATGTTTTTTGACAAGATTCACCACGGCCGACCACCAGGCTGCTGTCTCCGACTGATCCGTGCGGAGAACCAGGACTCCTGCGCACACCTGGAGATCATTGCACTGCTTTGGGGCTGATTTCAGGCTGAAAATGAGGTAGATCATGGTATATCATGGTATTATATGTATCATGTACATGTTCAAATGGTTATTTTTATTTTCAAAGAAATGGATAGAAACGGGATATCTGAATGGCTTTTGTCAATGGATTTAGATGGATTTAGAGGTTCACCCCTATTTTCACACAGACCCATTCTTGTGGTGTTGGATGATTTCACACGAAAAATCCCTGGGAATCAAGAACCTGCTACCCCAGTACTTGGGGACTATGGGACTATGGGACCATTGGGTCAGGCTACCCAAAGAGGCTCTACCTGGGATCAAATGGATATGTCCAAAAAATAGGCTCTGCCAAGATTTGGCTGATCATGATATTTTTTTTATCCCATTAAAATAAGCTGGTACAACCCAGCTTATTTGGACAACCCAAAAATCCACCAACAATGGAGCTTTGGTTTCAATCTCCAAATAACTCTGGAGGTTTCCACTATGGGAACTTTTTGTTGGCAAAATTGTGGATTTCACCAACAAAAACAAGAGAGCTGTTCTGGGTGGAAACAGACAGGAAAACATGTTTTTTTTCATCCAAAGATGTGCATGTCCCAAGAACTTGCCCTGAAACCACTGCTGAAAATTATGATTTCTACACATGGCCGGCAACCAACAACTCATTGTTGATACCATGTACCAACACTTTTCTTTGTTATATGATGTTATATGCCCACTTTACTCTTTAAATTCTCACTTCTCATCGTTTCTTAGTTCTAATGTTGGTCTGACCTCAAATATCAACAACTTTCAACTACCAATCGGATTCTTAAGTCAGACCAACATTGAGCTAAATATCCCCCATCTACTGATGTTCACCCCTTGGCCAAGCTGCCACGGTATAGGAGAGCAAGACACCGATGCTCAGAAAGTTCGACAGTTCCTCCACCTTTGCAGCTGGGAAAATCTCAGCTTGTTGGCTAATAGTTGGTAAAACCATGTAAAACCTGACAAAACTAGTAGTAAATTATGTCTCCTATCTTTTGGGGGTTTACATCATGTTTCTATTTTCATATCCTTGGGGATTCAACCCTGGGCCCTGTAGTTCAGTCCTTGCTGGCTCAGGGTTTCAAGGCCGGGCCCCAAAACAGAAGCCTCAAAAAATGCCATGTTTCCGCTGCTTAATTCATGTCATACTTCTTTAATTAGGGGGCTACTTCCCCAATAGTCATATTCTGAAACTTAAATGGTACCCCCCGATCAAACAGCCTGGGGGTTCATTAATCCAGAGGGTTGACATTGCCCCAAAAAGGTTGGTCATCCACGAAGAAAATCTCTGCTTTGGCACCTGCACGCAGGCCAACAGGGCGGCAATCAGTGAACAAAGCCACTGGGCGTAGATCGGCGTGCCGAACGTTGGCGACACGTGTTCTGGGCGGGGTGACGGGGGTGGCGGTCGTCCCGGTGCCGGTCTGGGGATGACCACATGACACCTACCACCCCGGCCCAGTGCGGCCCAGGGTCCAAAAAGGTGAAAGAAGAGATCCTGTGGAACATCAGAGGGGGATTCAATCGGTGGCATGTTGGCTAGCAAACAAGATCATGTTTAGCAGCCAATGCACCGAGGATCTACATAGCTAGGACTGGCTAGAATGAAGTGGCTCTCAACCATCGACCAATTGAGTCTGGCCAACTGTCAAGGCCTCAACCAATTCACCTTGTCATGGTCTACCCTCCGGTCATCAAACATAGCCATGGAAAATCCCCTCCAATTAGTCTGGCGATTTCACACACGCCAAGGCGCGTCACGTGCCATTGCTAAGTAGATCCGCGCCTGTGCGAGCGGAAAAGATGTGAAAGAATGTCCAACCGCACCTCAATTTTTGCCATTTTGGTGGGTGGTAATCTTCAAAAAAGGAGTTTTTTGAACTATCCAACCTCACCTTTTTTGAGATAGACATCTTTCCACATGAGAAAATCGCAGAGAATCAACCTGGCCCGGCACCTGGGAGTACAACCCCGTGATCAGCGTGGTGAAAAGGCCAATGACGGCACCCCAGTTCACCATCATCAGGGCCTGAGTGGAACCAAGGCGGGAATTCCAGCGCTGGTCCTCAAAGAATGGACATTGAGATCAAATGAAATCAGCATGATGTTTTTTGTTTGAGAAATATAGACGAATTCTTTCATCATTTGGGCCTCCATGACTTTTCTATGATTTGCCCAGTGGAAATCCCAGTGGAACTCCCAGTCTCAGGGGATGGTCGGGTTCAAGCGGCCCAGGGAATGTTCGCATAGTGCGGCCCGAAGGCATCCTCTGCTGGCGCCGCCTGGAACTTATGGTCCCGCCAAGGGGAAATCCCTTGAAACTGGCCACCTATAATTTTCGTTTTCCATCACGGTATGACCCTCTCCCAGCTAAGGAGTATACAACACAACCTTATATCATGGCACATATGAATTTCTGATCTAACGCGTGCCTGCTGAATCTCGTAGTATGGGATGATTCCCACCTAAACGTGCATCTAAAGTCGAGACTGTGGCACTGGCAAACCCCCGGAAGGTCAACAAAGGCCGAGGTCTCAACCAGTACAATCGAAAACGCGATGTACCTGAGGGGAAAAATGATGAAGTTGCAGCTCATACAAGTTCTGATCTCCACTGGAATCTCCACATGGCCGTTTGAAAATGGTGTATATCCCTAGATGCCCTAAATTGCTATGTGAATCGGGAAAATCACGATAGACCATTAGATTTTGGGGTGCCCTATTTTCAGACTGCTAGACCTGTGCCTGTTACGCGGCGGAACATATCCCAACAAAATTGTTTCATTTTTTTTGCCGAGTCACAGTAGCGCGCCTGAGTGTCTCGAGTTTGGAAGGAGAAAAACAAACAAACAAACAAACCAAACAAACCAAACAAACCAAACAAACCAAACAAACCAACCAACCAACCAACCAACCAAACAAACAAACAAATAAACAAACAACAGCAACAACAACAACAACAACAACAACAACAACAACGACAACGACAACGACAACGACAACGACGACGACGACGACAACAACAACAACAACAACAACAACAACGACAACAACAACAAAGTACAAACAAACACTGGGACCACATCCTCACTATATATCTCTTTTTGTTTCCACCCTTTATGGTGCAAACAAAGACTGGGACCCCGTCATTGCTATTTGGGCCCCCCCCAACAATCTGCAGGAAACATCAGGAAACAATGGACGCGCCTGCCAAATTTAGGGGTGTTCGGTGTTGACATGTTTTCGGCATTTTTTTCTTTTCCAAAAAAACATGGCCCACCTGGATGCACGGTGGAAGCAACACCGCGTCTTCAGAGCTACGTTCCAAGTGAACGTATCGGGGCCTTGCGTTTCAGGGCTCATGTCAAATGGTGTTGATACTATACAGCACACATTGCTACGTTGCACGTCATAACACTGCTCAAAACATCTGTCTCTAGCACCAAGAATGATCATACTGTATGATGTCTTATGCCAATATGTTCACATGACAACACATGGGCACGGCGATTGGCAACTTCAGGTTCCCATCCTTCCAATCTCCTGACCCCGCTTCTTCCCGGCTCCCGGCTCGAAAGAGCGAATCCTGGCGCCAGTCGCATTGGACCAATGGGATGATCTGTCAAAAAAAGTTCCCAGTTTCGATTGACTGGGCGGGCGGAGGCTTTTTGAGCCCTACCCTGAAAGATATTTCCGAAATTTGGGCATCCAAACAACCCTAACCCTTTGGCGGTCTGGTTTAGATGTAAAGCCGATGTCTTGTAGATCAACCATTTTGCGGAACATCCAAAATGCAACCAGCCAGCGGCGGATGGATTGATATTGAAATTGACTGATTTGGGGGGCTCTCTTGTACCCCAATTGTAACCTATATCCACTTGTGATCCACTCCAGCAATCATGCCTGCCTCGGGTGGCGGCAAGGCAACCCCGCTGAAGTACCTGCCAAGTTGGAAGAAAAAGGTACAGCAATCCCGCTGCTGCGATTCTCAACCGTTTTCTCTCAAAAGATTCAAAGTAAGCGGAATTGCTGCTGCTCACGCTTCCAGCATTGGGCAACGGGTGACACGGAGACAGTGAACCGAAACTGCGATGTTAGAGATGGCAGTGGAGGTTGGGTTGTCTTCCAAAAAGTTGGCCTATTTTTTTTCTATAAGTTAGAACATCACTTTCCAAAATTTGATGGCTAGAATGTGTACATTTGGGCAGGCATTGAAATCCATTCAAAATGTGCCTACAAGATCCACCCATGACTCACCACACCCCAAATAGCAACCTGTTTTTCCAGTGCAACAGATCACGCCGCGCTCATGAAACCCAACAACCTCAGAACCTGCATGGAAGCGGGGAGATGTCGATCAGAACTTGCCGTTACAATCAGGTGGCCGTAACAAAAACATTAAAGGACCGGATAACCCCACATGTCAACTTCTTCCAATAATGAGCAACAAATGTTGTAGCGGGACGGGGAAGGAAGGAAAGACAAAGGAGGTGGCGGAGGATCGAGAAGTAAAACAAGTTGTATGTGAAGAGCTGTGTGTGTGACAAAGTTGTATGTGAAAGATGGTGTGTGACAAAGTGGTGTGAAAGATGGTGTGTCAAAGATGGTGTGTCAAAGATGGTGTGTGAAAGATGGTGTGTGACAAAGCGGTGTGTCAAAGATGGTGGGTGACAAAGCGGTGTGTGAAAGATGGTGTGTCAAAGATGGTGTGTGTCAAAGATGGTGTGTGAAAGATGGTGTGTGAAAGATGGTGTCCGACAAAGTGGTGTGTGGAAGATGGTGTCCGACAAAGTGGTGTGCCAAAGATGGTGTGTCAAAGATTGTGTGAAAGATGGTGTGTGAAAAAGTGGTGTGTCAAAGATGGTGGGTGACAAAGCGGTGTGTGAAAGATGGTGTGTCAAAGATGGTGTGTGACAAAGTTGTGTGTGACAAAGTTATGTGTGTGAAAGATGGTTTGTGAAAGAGAGCGTGTGACAAAGTTGTGTGTGAAAGATGGTGTGTGACAAAGATGGTGTGTGAAAGATGGTGTGGCAAAAGATGGTGTGTGACAAAGTTGTGTGTGAAAGATGGTGTGTGACAAAGATGGTGTGTGACAAAGTGGTGTGTGACAAAGTGGTGTGTGACAAAGTGGTGTGAAAGATGGTGTGTGACAAAGTGTCAAAGATGGTGTGTGACAAAGTTGTGTGTGAAAGATGGTGTGTGACAAAGTGGTGGGTCAAAGATGGTGTGAGAGCCAGCCCAGTGCCGCAAGCTACTCCCGAAAAAGAACCGGCCTCGTCGGCTTGGCTCACACTACCCAGCCACGAGCGTTCAACTGGATCTGGGCACAGCTTTCGGCCCTCTGCCGAACGAAGAGGAGCTCGCCCTCATTGAGCTGGGGCAAGCTCCTGGACACATCCCAGTGAGATTACGATAACTACATTTAAATATACGGACTTTTAAATATACGAACAGGTATTTTAGACTACCTTCGACCTTCGGGAAGGTTTTCCTTGGCCCGCCCGGCCATTTAAACATACGGAATCCAAGTCATTTAAACGTACGGTAGCTACATTTAAATATACGAACTGGTATTTCATACTACCTCCGGGGCCTCGCGGTCTGGCCCGCCCTCCACATATTTAAATGTCGCTGCCGTAGAGGAAGTGAGATCCACGCCGACTTATTTAAACCATATTCAAAAACCCCGGCTCCTCTGCAGGGGGAAAAGTGTGGAGTACCGCTGCCAGTTGGCGGTACTCCACACCAGGTCCCTCGAGGTGGACCCCTGCATGCTGACCAGGGGGGCGACGGTCAATACGTCGCCCCCCTTTGCCGCCTGTAAAGTTTGGATAGATTTTGCAACGAAAACAAAACGATGCAACCAAACAAAAACAAATCAGATCACACTTTCGATGGCTTGATGTTCTCTGCATCAGGATGTTGGTGCTCATCCACATATGGGAAACACACAACAACTACTAGAATCTATGAAACACTGTGCTATTTTTGGAATTGATGAGACCCTCAGTCTTTCCAATGTGGTTCTCATGTGTGCACAACCAACCTATTGTGCTACTGCGGTTTCATGGCTGGGAGAAATCACAACTGGAAAGCGTCCATGGAAAAAACATGAGAATAAACCCCAAAAGTATCCCCAACAGCGAGAAACAAAAACAGCTGCCAAACACGCAGTGAGTGAAGTATGTTTATTGCCCCGCCCTTTTTACTCTAGAGGTTGGGCGTACAAGGTGCAATCACAGCACAAACACTTTATGAAAAAACGCTTTTCCAAAAGCGTTTGCAATACTGTGGCCAATATGCCCGAAGCTCGTGCGAAGGGCTTTCTTCCCAAAGAATTGCTGTCCGCCTCACTCTTCACTTCATCTACCTAACATACATCATCCACATCTCTTATGTCCTTTACATCACCTACATCTTCTATACCATCTTCTACACCATCTTCTCTAGATCTACATCTACATCTACACCATCATCAGCATCATCATCACCTACATCTGTCTCACCTACATTATCTACACCACCTACACATTTGTCCATCAACCTCATCTATATGACATGCTTTATCTACAAAACATACATTACCTACATCATCATCACCTACATCATTACATCCTCTACATCCCCCACCTCACCTACATCTTCTGCACCATCTTCCCTGCACCATCATCATTATCATCATCCCCACCACCACCATCATCATCATCATCGTCATCATCTATCTCACCTACACCATCTACATCACCTACACAATATTTTTCCGTCAGCCTCATCTACATGACATACATCATCTACAACGCATACATGACCTACATCATCATCTATATCACTGCATCCTCTACATCACCTACATCTTCAAACCTATCTAACCTTACATCACTTACAACATCATCCTCATCATCTACAACATAGACAACATCACCTACATCAGCTACAGGTGATCAACTTCTAGGGAACTCCTCAAAAACTTGAAAAATGTATTGCAGGTGATCCACTTCTACTTGAACTCCTACAAGACTCCTGCCTGCAAGGTCACTTGCCCAGAAATTGTTACACAGGAGTTGCTACACAGGAGTTCAGCTAACTTCCAGGGGATCAAATTGTATGTGAACTCCTGCAAAATCAGACCTTTCCAGTTATTCTACTTCTCTCTGGTGGCAGCGACAGCCAGGCGGTGGCTTGCGAAACGTTACCCTCCCAAACGTGTGGTGCCACGCCTGCCACGCAAAGTGACGGTCAATGTTCAGAACGGTAGAAAACTCGATGGACGCCCTTAAGGAACACCAAGCAGTTTTCAGGGCCCCAGTCTTTGCTTGTACCAACAACAACAACAACAACAACAACACCAACAACAGCAACAACAGCAACAACAGCAACAGCAACAGCAACAACAACAACAACAACAACAACAACAACCACCGGAGTAACCAGAGTAACCAGAGTGAAAATCTCAGTCCCTGGTTCCTTATTGGATGATATTCCCTTAGAACGGACAACCTTTCTTCATGGATCAAAAATGGATCAAATCCATGGAGACGAGATTCAAATCAACAAAGACACTGTGATGGCAATGGGCAAATCTCGATGCGGATCGATACATTCCTCCGCAGCATTGGTGATGGTGCCGAATCCTGCGAGGCCCCTGGATGGAAGATCCCCAGGCGTCACCGGTTTCAATACTACAGTAAAATGCTTCAGTGACTTGGATGATTTGGGGTACCCCCCATGGATTGGAAACCTCCATTTCAACATCTTGAAACATCATCGGGAGATCATCTCCATCAAACATCCACATGCAATGTTTGAACTTCCAAAGATTCATGGGACATTCACCAACCCCAAGATAGCCTGGTGAAGTTCTGAGGGAGAAGATTTCGGGATGAGTAGCCTGGGTCCTTTTGTTTTTTGTTACCTAAAAATATCTGGTTCTTCTGGATTCTTCTGGATTCTTCTGGATTCTACAACTATTGATCCATCCCCTTGGTAAGCCCTGAAGTGTGACCCATCCACTAAATTATTTGACCAATTCAAAAAACTCTGTCCTATGAAGGAAAAGGAGCAAATCGCCGACCTCAGCAACGCCCAAGTGCAGCTAAAAGGTGACATTGATTCGGTTTCAAATCAGGCGATGGAGTTTGATGAACCAAAAGCATGGACTTATCCAAAACCAAATGGGTATATTTAAACCCGACTTCACCGGCACCCGTGGTCACACGGCTGAACCGGCTGGGCCCCCTCACATGCTCAGGACCGGCCCAACACCATGCCTTGCTATGGAAAAGTGAGGAATTTCACCGGCTAAAGTGGTGAAACATTGTGGTTTCGCCAGGAAATGATGATTTCATGGGATGTTATGGAGATGTAATGATGGTCCTTCGGGTAAGACCTGCCAATTCTTGGAAATCAATTCTTTATATAAGGAATAGAATCGAAATCACCAAAATCGAATCGGGGCCATCCTGGTTTTTATACCAATGGGAATGGGAATGTCACTAGAAAGAAAACAGCATGATAGCGCTCTACTTCGTTTCTTCGCGAAAAAATAAACTCAGGTACTATCCCCAACAGCTTGAAAGCTTCTGCGTTTTTGCCATAAAAATCAAGCGCTTATATGCCATAAAAATTAAGTGCTTATGCCAAAAAAAACATCGGAACCCTTTGGAATTTCACAAAGCATCTGCACCAGAACCCTCCGGAACCTCACAAGTTATCTGCACCCACCAGAACCTCACCAAGCATCGTCCCCGCCAAAACCATCCGGAACCTCACAAGGTATCTGCACCGGAACCCTCCGGAACCTCACAAGGTATCTGCACCGGAACCCTCCGGAACCGCACAGAACCCTCCGGAACCTCACAAGGTATCTGCACCAGAACCCTCCGGAACCGCACACGGAACCTGGTGTTGAAGCTGCACCGGATCGCACCGGAGCTAATCTGGGCTAAAGACCCCATAGCAAAGTTTTGCTGTTGGGGAAAATCTCAGAATCAGTTGGAATGATCTGTTTTTTTTTCACCCCTGTTTTTCAGCAGACGGTTGAAGGAATTTGGCTTCTGCCACGTTGCGGAAAGACTGGAGACAAGTTCGCAGGATCCACCTGGCGTCAAGTTCTGAATGCGGGATGGTGACTGGTGACCATCTCATGATTTGGGATAGTTCTTATGAGTGTATACATATATTCTCCATATATTCTCCATATGTATCCTTATAAAAGAATTCCAAATATAAATCTGTATGCATATTGTTATCATAGAATCATAGATATTGATGACCAGAACACTGAGTTCTAGCTGGCTAGTCTATAACCCCATCTGTGGCAAAACAAAATGTCAAAAACCCATGGCCCAAAAATCGAAAAGCAAAATCCTGCCAAAACGTATAGTAGTGTATTTATATAAACAAATTTCCGATTTTCTGGGTTGTTGCTATACTCAACCATGATTTTCCTCAGTTTGATGCATCTGAAGATCCCTGGTCCATCAATACGAAAACAAAGGGCCTTTGTGCACCCAACGATGATGACCAGAAGGACAATGCCCACTTTGCCTCGGTCATCCTTTCTTGGGAATTGCCGTAGAGCTATGACCATCATCCAATATGGGGCATACCAAATCCAGCGCGTACCCTCTGGTAATTTAACATAACCATGGAAAATCACCATTTTCAATGGGAAAATCCACTATTTCAATGGCCATTTTCAATAGCTATGTTAAATTACCAGAGGGTATTTGTTCATCATCCACAGTTAAAATTTGGTGGCTTGGCCGGTGCGCCAAGTGCATGCATATGCTGCAAATCGAGAATCCGAAGACCAGCAATCCATTGACGCGCTTCAAGCCACTCTCAACGCCAAAGGACAGGATGCCTTACAAGTCGATAGACGTAAAACCTGGCCTAGTTCCATGCCCCAACGCTGCATCTTGGTGAATCGTGGTGTTTCTGAAGCGTGCCAATTTGAAAAGGAGAAGCAACTCTGTCAGTTGCAACTGGGTTGTGTTTTAGCTGGGTTCAAACATGTTCAGGGACTGGCCAATCTTGGCTCTGGCCGATCTTGGCTGCGGTTTTCCAGGCCAAGCGGCATGTGAGCAGAAGCACCAGTAGGATGGAGATTACCTCTTTGGAGCGGGAAGACATGTTCCAGTGGTTTTGAAGTAGGTGTCACATCCCAAAAAATATCCAGACATGAAGCAAATCGACTTCATTTGTGATGTTCATCTGAAAATTATGTTCGGATTTCATTCCATTGCCTTCCACCCACATGGACAGCTAAGACAGCACAGTCGAACTTCTACAGCAGACTGCGCCTGTGTGCTGGGAAGCCAAATGTGTGGAAACATGAGCAGAAGCCTTGGGCACGGGCAAGAGTTGGCCAAATGATTTCCAATGCAGCTGCAACCCTTTTGAGACACTCTTGAACGCCAGAAACATCAAGAAACAAAACTCACGGTAAGTATTCTCTGCGTGCTAAAGTGATTGAAGAAGCACAGCCATGCACATAGACTTCCCAGAGTGTTGGAATTCCAGGGAAATGGCCATGGCATCGTTCACCATCTCAAGTTCGCTCAAGACCATCGCCACAGGCGCTTCATGTCAAGACCACAGCCACAGGAAACCCAACAGTCTTACCATCAGGCTTGCTCCAACCTATAAATGAGATGGAATACCATCAGGGGGGCTTGGTATGTTTGATCTCTGTTTTTTCTTAGCCATCCTTGGTATCTCCGGTATCTCCAGGGATCCCCAAAGTTTCGCTGCGGCACGTCTTTTGGAGATATAGGGCACATGATGCGATGTTCAGTGCAGCGCCCACGTGGTAGTCCACCAAGACATTCCTCGCGTTTCGCAATGCCCCAAGGCGTTGTAAGCCCAGCAGAAGAATTTTTCGGGGAAGGGGATGGCCACGGATTCTTCAAAAACCTGCTACCCTGGTGAACATTGAAATCAATGGTAATGGATTTAGCCCTTTTCCATAGATAGAATCATATGAAAAAAGGGAGATAACCAGCGAGACTGTTACACTTCCATCCACAGTGACAAAGATTTGGTCTCTAGCCTTGGAGAATCCACAACAAAGTACCATTCATCCCCCCAACTACAACCATGCAGCTGTATGTTTATTCAACAAGAGACAGACCGATCAGCAGCGCCACAAACTCACCAAAGGCGACAAAGGCATACAGATACACCGAACCTGACCTGAGATGGGAGGCTGGGTTCGGTCGGAAAGCAGCACGGTCGGTGTTTTTAACAGAGGGAACTGGAAAAAAGCTCTGCTTGGAAATCACCATTTTTAATGGGAAAATCCACTATAAATGATCATTTTCAATAGGAAATGTTTGGAAATGTATTTTCCTGTCAAAGGTTTTGTCATTTTCCGGGGTCCAGGTTTAATTTTGACCGCATCGCCCTTTTTCCCCAAGTTTGTTGGTTACACCAAGCGGCACGGGGATTCGAGCTGAAAGCTCAGCATAGCAGAGGGCACTAAAGATGCCTCATGGCATGGCCCAACAGGTTGGCTTCTGACCTCATATGGGGATGGGTCAAAACCAATAGTACCCCTTCTGTGAACATCAAAATAGCTGGGATTTATGGATGTGAATAACCCCCTAAAAATGGTATTAATAGGTATTGATCCATAGCCATTTCATGATGCGGTCCACATAGAAACAGAAGTCACGACGCAAGACACGACGGTCACGACACGACGGTCACGACGCCATTGGCAACGTGCCATCCAAGGGTCTGCTGATGCCAGCGAGCAGAAAAGAGAAACCTCAGCCGAGAAGGCCTGGAAGTTGCTCATCTTTCCAGGTGATATGGGTATGGGTCAATACCTATAGATACCATTTTTAGGGGGATGAACATCCATAAATCCCAGCTATTTTGATGTGAACAGAAGGGGTACTATTGGTTTTGACACACTGCCATATGGAAAATCCAAACTCAGCCTTCCGATTTGCCACCCAAAACCATGAAATTCTGCTTTGGCTCCGTGTATCAACACTCAAGATACTGACTCAGTTCATACATAAAGCAGGGTGCCGGGAGGTCGGGTGGAAAAACTTGCCAGCTGACTGCGGCTGACTACGGCTGAGCGACTGACTTATTCCAAACATGCTTTGAATGTTTTTTTCTGATGGGGAGCATGAATGAACATGAATACACCACTAGAATATGGCCCATGTTTCATGATTGTAGCGGGAAACCCAGGCATGGCTCAAAAACATGGTACCAATAGCAAAAATTGTCATTTTTTTTCTAGTACTAAGCGGTTCAATTTTTGGTGGTCCATGAATTTGAAGTCCTGCCCATGTCAATTTCGAAAAAACACCTTTGAAAATGATTGAAAATGGATTGAAAATGGATTGAAAATGGATTGAAAATGGATCAAAAAGAATGCAACCCCCAATCCACGGGTCATTTTCCCAAATAAATTCCCACATTTTCCCATCTGCCCAGCCACAGACCGCAGGCCCACATGGCTGTGCCGCCACCCCGGTGATGACAAAGATGCCCGCGCCCACGCTGGCTCCGACACCTGAGATCCCCAAAAAAGGGGTGAAACTTGGAATGTCACTGGATTGTTTGGAAAATTCGGGAAACCATGTGTTTCCCATTGATATTTACCTTGTGAATGTTCCCAAAACAATCTCCAATTCTGCGGCGACGAGGGTCAAACTTACGTACCCCCAAACTCCATATATCCACCCACGTTACCGTGAGTACAAGGTGCAGGTCTCATTTCAGCAATGCATCATCTTCATTCAGGTTATGTCCTTGACAGAGTCTAAGTCCAATTCTGTCGGGTGCAACATGTCCTTATTGGCTCTCAACTTGTTGACATCCATCAGCTTTCCAGTATTGATCAAAGACATTGCTACTAAACTTGACGGTCTCCGTTGCAATTATGTGTATCACCACCTCTCGCTCTATTTATCTATGTATATATATATAATGCATATGTCTAGATATAATATGTACATATGTAATCATGTGTGTATATATATATATATACTTATTGAATTAAGTATTTATCTACATCTGTATATGTATATATATATACACGCTCGGGGCCCTAGGTTTCCGCAGAGTATCTTGGTTCTCATTGATCCATATGTCAAAAATCATTGTTTCGCCACAGCGAAATGTGGATTTTGCACATTCTTCTTTTTTTTCTTTAATGACAATGTTACGGAGCTAAATTTTTAGGCCCGCGCAAGTTGCATGTCATGACATGTTATCCACAGTACATGTCAATTGTGATTTTCATGTTTTCCTACACAAAATACCACTTTTCATGAGTTTCTTTGTTTTTTTTATCCGGAATTGTCATTTTTTACTGCGGCACGTGGGGTAATATGAAGAGGTGTCTTTTTTTATTGGTATTTGCAGTGAATTTTAACGTTAGCATGAAACGGCACATGTTGATAGTCAGCCTTTGTTTTGCTCGTTGTTGCTTCAACTTCATCAGCCTGCTGCAACATGTTCTTTTTCAAAGTTTCTGATTTTCTTGTTTTCCCACACAAAATAGCACATTTCATGAAAGTCGTTGTTTTTTTAAGCGGAAAAGTACTGTTTTACTGCCGCTCGTGGTGTAATATGAAGGGCTGTTTTTTATTGGTATTTGCAATGTTTTTTATGTTAGCATGAAACGGGACATGTTGATAGTCACCTTTTTGTTGCTCGTTGTTGTTTCAATGTCAACACCCTGCTGCAACATGCTGCAACACACCCCATCCCACCCCACCCCACCCATCAACGTACCATGAACATGACTTAACATGCCCCACCCCACCCCACCCATCAACGTACCATGAACATGACGTTAACATGCCCCACCCCACCCCACCCATCAACGTACCATGAACATGACGTTAACATGCCCCACCCCACCCCTCCCATCAACCCCACCCCACCCCCCATCAACGTACATGTTAACATGCCCCACCCCACCCTCCCATCAACGTACCATGAACATGACTTAACATGCCCACCCCCCACCCCATCAACGTACCATGAACATGACGTTAACATGCCCCACCCCACCCCACCCCACCCATCAACGTACCATGAACATGACGTTAACATGCCCCACCCCACCCCACCCATCAACGTACCATGAACATGACGTTAACATGCCCCACCCCACCCCACCCCTTGCGGAAACCTGGGGCCCCGAGGGTTATATATATATATATATACACACACATACACATGCACATACATATAGATATATAATTATATATACTGTAATTGTATATATATATATATGCCATATAGGTATAAGCACAGATAGATATAACGTTAGATAGATCGATATGTTACATAAATCAACATCATTCGTGACCTTCGTAAACGCACCAGGTTTCCCCAGCGGCATGGCACCAATCAGCGTGAGATCTAGAGCAGTCAGCCGGCGCTGTAAGGCCGTCGTCGGCGACCTGGCAGCTGAAACGTGAAACCGCCAGGAAATCATCGGTACCAAGGAGCTGAACAGATGTTGAAACAAATTGGATTATGGTGAAAAATCATGTCTTAGCCAACTATATGGAAACTATCATAGCTAATATTAAACTAATACAACTTTAATATCATTATGTGTTGTATTCGAAGGTATTAGATATATTAGCTATAGATATAGATCAACACTGACTCCTTAGACCAGAGATCATTGGTGACCTAAAAGCATGCCACTCTGAGGATAACCACACGATTATCATGTCACATATCATGTTAATATCAGTGGCTTGGGCTTGCAATTGTGTTGCTTCTATCCCCCGACTTGATTTCGCTGTCAATGGAATGTTTCAACAGAAAAATTGCAGGAAGCATGTTTTTCAAATGAAATATAGGGGTAAACCCTGCAAGTTTTCCCGGACAAACCAATTCTGGGACATAGGGGTCTGGCTCATAATTTGCCGGTCATCATCCCCCAGTCCCATTTTTGTTGCTTGCAAGCCCCTAATCTATATACCCTTTACATCTATTTTGCCCTAAATCCTAATGTTGTTGGTTATAGTTTGCAATTATAGCCCCAAGAAAGATGCAGAACAGTAGAGTCCCACTAATGCAGTGGTAAATCTTGGTAAATCTGGTAAATGTCACCTTTTCTATCTTTTTGGGCTACTACTATACCAGACTATTGATCCCTTACATCCCTCAGGTGCTTCGAAAACACCTCCCGTCACCCTCGTAGCCACGTAGCCGGCCAGGCCTCTCATCCACTGGCCGCTTGCGCAGAGCCAAGGCCACGGAGAGACGCCAACAACTTTGGCCTGGCGAGTCTGGCGAAATATACAAAAGATGCGGAAAATCAACCATTTCCAGACGATTTTCGTGGTTCCCCATGGCTTTTCCATCGATGGTAGTGCGTGTAGAAACCAAAAAATCTACCCATGATTTGGGGAGATGTTTCTCCCATCTGTTGTAATGGGTACTTGGAGGGTCTCAATAGGTTTATATAGAGTCTATAGAGAGCAGGACGCTGTGGGAGTGCACTTGTTTATTGTTTTTTTGTTCAAAGCTGTAATCAAATTAAAGCTTAAGCTACAAATGAAGCTGTGTTCATGTCCACTAGAGAGCATGGATTGCTTGAAGAAGTGTCCAGGTGTTCACTCTACCTTAGATAAATGCTACTACAGTGTCCCTTCAACAAAACACAATTTCTGCAGAATATGCTAGATGACTTCAAAATAATTACAACATCCCCATACCTGCCAACAAATGCAGCATTCAAAACAAACATACGCTTCTGAATAAGAGTAATCTTCCTTTGGGGCAATGCCGTGCGTTTTTGCAGGGGCAATATCCAAACAAAATATGAAGTATTCCTTGAAAAGTTGCACCATGCCCTTTGAAGGAGTGCAGTGTGCATTTCCAGATGTCTAACCCTCCTTTCAAAGGAGCTACCCCTTTTAGAAAAGTCAATATTTCTGCATACTATATGCAGTATTATTGACATAGAGCATCCCTTTCAAAAGTGCAACATGTTTGAAACTGTGCGCACTATTAAAGAATGCTCTTTCGCTTCTTACCACTGAACAACAGAATATTGTCCTGTATGGCAAAAAATATTCCTGTGAAGAAACAGCATTCTTGGAAAACTGGATTGATTGTCTTAAGATTTAAAGATGCACATTCTTCAAATTACAATATTTTTCAAGAGGAGAGCTGCCTACACCAAAGGATGTTATTCCCAAAATATGGTTCGTTGTCTTGGAAAAATATCACATTATGCATTCAGAAAAATGATAAGCAATTGTGAAGGACATATTTTACGTGTTTTCTTCATTTAAGAAAATATATTGTGAAAAGGGCATTGCATGTGCAAGAGGGGGCAACGGTTTCAGCGGGTTGCTCATTTACCTACTTCAATAGGATGCTCTACCATTTTAAAAGAAATGCACTTGTTGAAGGGAGCACTCACCTCAAAGGGATGCATCACTCCTTTTCAAGGGAATCCTTCAAAGTATTTGAATATGTGTTAACTCAAGGGTTTGAGCCAACAATGTCAACATCAAAATAAATTCGACATATTCATTGGCTGCCTATGTTTTTGCATGTGTTCAACACAGTTTTGGAAAAAATATATAAACAAACAAAATTGCCTACTGTAATCTGCCCCCAAGCTTCCTCCAGTGATACCTGCATTTTGCCATGTTTTTTTACATGATTTTCTAATGGAACCACAGGCCCAAAGCAACCAATAAAATCAACCAAAAGCAAGTTTGTAACCCCGAAAGTGGGCGAACTGGCAAAGAGTGAGGTCAAGGTCCTTCACTTTTGTGTTGTTTTGTCAGCCCTTCAAAAAACCAACAACGAACCAGAAAAACAAAAAACTAAAAAACCAAGAAACCAAAAAAATTAAAAAACAAAAAAAAAAAACAAGATTGCACACCCCAAGGGGGGGAGTAGTGGCAGAGAGTTGGGTCTTGTCATTTTGTGTGTTTTTCGTTTTTTTGTTTTTTGGTTTCTTGGTTTCTTGGTTTATTGTTTTTTTTTGGATTTTGGTTTTGATTAGCCATTGCAGAAAAACCAAGCAGAAATCGTCAATGGTTGCAAAGCAGTGAGAGAACCATCGCAGATGCAGTGGTTGCAAAGATGTGCAGTTTCAGTGGTTGCAGAATGCAATGAAAAACCGCACTCCCAAGGTGTCCCCTTCTGTTTATATATATATATATTGGTATATATATATACATACATACATATATATATATAGTGTATATATATATATATATGTATGTATGTATATAAATACACGTATATATATATATATATATATAAAGGGAAAATAATGGGACTGTCGTAGGCTGAATCATGCTTAAAATCCCCATCTCTGAGAGCTGCCATGGCCCCTTTTCGGACCTGGCTCTTCCAGACTCATTCTGGCTCCATGGCAGGGGCAGTGGCTGCTGGCTGCCAGGCTGTGGGTTTAACGAATTGCTGGGATGGACATCATCCTGTCATCATCTGTGGACATTCCAAGATGTTCCGAGTCACTGCGAACCCAGCTGCAGCAAAAATTCAGGTGACTGCAGTGTCTCCAACGACTCCCGATCGACTTGACCACACCTAAACTCTGCTGGTCAGAAAGCAAAGTACAATGCGCAGACTTTTTCTGCCCGCTGCAAAGTTGCAGCTCAACCTATCTGGCAGCATCATCATCTGGGACAGCAACTGGATTCCTGGATGTGAAGGTCAGATTTATTCAGAACTTCAGCGTCCCTCCCGTCAAATTGAAGCTCTTGGGGGGAAGATAGGGGTGTCTGAAAATGGCCACAAAAGTATTTGACCGTTGCCTTTTTTCCACCAGTCCCCAAGATGATAGAAAAGTGAAATCATACTAGAATAGTGGCAAGTTTAAGTTTATATCTTTTTGAGTAGTACTATATGTACATATATTATAAATTAATGTGCACCCGTTTTTCCGAGGAACACAACTTCCAACTGTCGCCGCCTCTTTCCATTCCTCTCCATCAGACGGTCCTTTGTCCATTGCTGGGTATCATCTCTTCAAATGGATTTGCCTGGTACGTATCTGCTGGCAAACAAACTGTAGACCTGTAGGCCACCGGCCAAAGAAAACTATTGATTTCTTTGTAAAAATCTTGGAAATCATAGCTTAGAGGTCTCTTTGATGTTTCTTTGTTTAAAACTATTTGATCGTAGCAACATCTTAGAAGTTCCATTTAAAAAACCAAAAGCTTCGAGTGGCACCTTGGATGCACCCCAGGTTCCCCGTAGCGCAAAGACTCCACCTCAGCGAAAAACTATTCCAGCGGATCAGCTGTCAGTTCAGTTTCACTGATTGAAAAAAAAAAGGTTGGCTCCGTTCCCGAATTCCAGACTCGGTTTGTTAGGAACCAGAAACTGGGTATGAAACAAATTGGGCTCTTAATTCCTTGACCTTTTTGACTTCCAAAGCTTTTCTTCCTAGACTTACCTGGTCTCAGAGAATCTGCCATGAATAAAAAACCCGCTTTTGGCGGATCCCGGGGCTGCGGCTGCTGCTGGGATCCGAGAGTAACGTGGGCGGCCTGTTGAGGCCCATCCCCCGGCCATGGTGGGTGGGGGCAAGGCCCATCCCCGTGTCAGCTGACAACCAAGCGAAAACAAGCTGAGTGGGCTATGGGAAGAAAAAATGTTGATGATTTCTTAGTCAGAAATAACCATTGGATTCTCAAGGTATCTGAAAGGTTGGCATTGTTCTCCTCAAGACAAAAAAGGCGACAACGACAACCAGCTGAAGAGACATGGGTTGTTTCTTGACATTTAAACATGCTAGGTGTTTAGACTGTCCTGGCCTTCAAACATCTCCTCAATTAATCTAATGCGCAACGTCAATGTAACATATCCATTATCAATATGAACCAGAAAATATACAGATATCATATCATCAATGCGTGGATTCTGGACCAAAATCTAGAATGTCAAACACTAAGTCTGGATTTTTAAAAAATGGGACCCCTCATGTGGTGATACTCTATCTATATGATAGAAATACATATCACCAAACGAAGGCTCCGAAGCGACCCACCAGACAGAACTGCCGAGACTCCCAGCAGAGTCGGAAACTGCTCGCGACTTGGCACCTGGCTCAGTAGGGGTTTCCCTATCCACCAACTATACTGAGATGGGATAGTTGATCAACCAACTATACTGAGATATCCCATATAAATCCATATAGTTAGACAAGTCAACATGCTTCTCCGTACATGATAGCCATGTATGTCTAATGCTTCACTTGTTGATCCATTTTGCTTACGAATCCTTGTGGCGCCATGGTGGTCCGCCAAGGCCCCACGGTTCGCAAACGAGCAGATCCCAACACCGCGAACATCTCGCACCGGTCTCGTCTCTGGGCGCCTCAAAATCTCCAGATTTGGGGTCCACTGGGACCAGCATGACGCCAGAAGCAAAATTGAAAGAGCTCAGAGAGCGAAATTCCAGAAGTTTTTAGAAAAGAGAGATTAAATTTGATATCAAAACTGTCAAATTGATTGGCAACACGGCAACATTCTGCAGCAGTTGAGTTTCCGGCGATTTCAGGTCCAGAGTCCTTACAAAATACTCAGGTCTGGGTATGGGTCAATTCAGTTGATGGGACCAGCGGGATCTTCAGCTTGACCCAATGGATTTCTTGAAGGTCCAACTGAAAACCTATCTTTTTCCAGTACCCAAAGATGTGGACTGCACTGAATTTGTGTCTTAACATGGATCTAACTCTAACAAATATTCCATCACATTGAAATTCTTATCTAACCCAGCTGAACGTTTCAAGTCAAGGCTAGCGCCCTGGCTGTTGAGTTTGCCGTAGAACTTCCGCCTCCCAAAAATATGAGATGGATTGGCCACTGGGGGGTTGGGTTCAAAAATTGGACCCGAATAAATAAGTATCTGTCATTATCTGTATGTACATAGTTAACTGTACAAATACATGGAGCTTTAATCAAATAACGGTATCCCAAAATAATTGGTTTCAATACGTAAATGGTCTAATTTTGGACGATTTTGGGTACCCCAATTTTGGGAAGCCAATATATATATATATATATATATCTGTGTGTGTGTGTGTTATTATACAATGATTGGTTTTTCTAGCAAACATGGAAACCCCACCTGCTTCTGTGGCTCCGGTCGGAGGTCATCTGCAAGCGGCATTAGGCGAACCAAGGCCCAAAAAGGCCGGGATTTTAACCAGCGAAAATACCGGGGGGGGGGGGTATGAAACCAAGCATTTTATGACCATGTTACCCTGTGGTAAACTAACATAACTATGGAAAATCACCATTTTTAATGGGAAAATCCATTATAAATTGCCATTTTCAATAGCCATGTTAAATTACCAGAGGGTACGTCGATGTTTCATGAGGTTTTTTGAGGAGAATTGCTGATTTTATGTTCAAATTTTGAATTGAATAGAGTACCAGAAGGCGATCAAATGTCCCATGTCCAGTTGTTTTTTGAAAAGTGGTGAGTTGGTGTTCACCTATAATAACCATTAATGATTAATGATAATCCATCAGTTAATTAATGATATAATGATTTTTTATATCAATACCTGGATGATGGTGATCAAGTAGTTATTGAAAAAAAGCTCACTTATTACCCTCTGGTAAATTAACATAGACCCTGGCAGATAGGGGTTGGAAGACTAGTTTCCATTAAAAACTTGCTATTTTCAGGGTCTATGTTAATTTACCAGAGGGTATATGTATATACATATATATATATATAAGCATCATCCACTAAGTGAACAGGCTCTCACGGTTGGTGCCAGCCTAAGGACCCCATGCTGCTCGGAGCACGGCTGGTTAGCAGTGTAGGGGCGGCCAACAGCCTGGCCCGGAGGTCATGGTTTATGGTCGCAATGATCTATTGACCTATGGAATTTATGTTTACCTACTTTATATGACATATATATATATATGTATATATATATATATTTATATGTGTTATGTATATACATATGTATATGTATATATATATAATGTGTATACATACATATATATATATCGCTAGTTATACCATATTTATACATATTATGTGTACGTATGCATGTATATATAAATATATGTAGAAATACATGCACATGTATCCGCCGACACCGGCCAATTGCAATGGGGAGCGCGCTGGGAAAGAAGAGTTACTGACAACAAGAACAAAAGGTGTGTTTAGCTCTTGCTGGCCCTTTTCTAAGGATTTTCGGCAACAACATCATCATCAACAACAACGAGAACAGGAACAAAAACAAGAACAACGGCGACAACAAGTCTGGTCAATTTTGTTGGCCTATTTTGTTCTATGGTATGTGAACAAGCGATTAAGGATTGCTCATTTCTCATGTACTTTTTAGTGCCACAAAGCTGTTTTTGGTAGGTTTGATCCTGAAAAGTACATGAGAAATCCTTAACTGAAGGACCCCAATTCCTTAATTGTAAGGGGGGTTGCAATTACGTAAGGAGATTTGATTGTGACCACGGACTTTGGATTGTTGATTTCACACACCATGACAGGCCAAACTTTCAGTCTTCATATCATTTACTTTGATTCACTTCACTCTGTAGACTCTGTTGGGTTGTTTATTGAAATGTATCCCAAGGCAAAGAACTTGCATTGTTTCAGTACTTCGGTCTTGCCATGGTGGTAGGCACCACAGGTTTCCAAAGGGGTTCCAAACCACACCGGCGCTGCATCCATGTTGAAGCAGGAATGGCCTGTAATAGGAGGGAATGGATGGAATGTTATACAACGAATGTCTTCTATGTAGCCTTGGCTTGTAAGCTGACCCATCAAATTTTGAAAGCCATATGTATCTAAATCTTGCGCATCAATCAAAATAATATGAACCTCTCAAACTTGGATTCAGGCTTTGAAAAAACTTACATCCCTATACAGATTCCTTATTCGCAAACCTCTTGCTTAAGAGCGGGCTTTGTGAAATTTGGCGGGAGAAGGAGCAGAAGAAACAAACGCCAAAGAAGAAGAATTAAGATTAAACAGAGAGAAGGACACACAACAAGATAGGAAGAAAAGGAACTGTTCTCTCTTTCTTCTCTCTGTCTTTCTCTTCTTTCTTGTCTTTCTCCGTATTCTGTCCCTGTTGTTTGTTCTTTCCCTCTCGGTCGTTTTTGTCCTTCTCTCTGTCTCTTACACATCCTATATCCATTCAATTCCATTCATATCCTATCATATTCCCATTCCAATCATGTATCCCGTTGAAACAGGTCGCTGCCCACGGCAGTTCCGTTCGGAGCGTCAGTTCTTCCGTGTCGTCGGCCTTGGGAAGCCAGGGGAAAAGATGGGATATGATGGGAAGTTGCAATGGGAAAATCATGGATTAGTACCCTCATTAGTCAATGGGAAAAAATGGGAAAATGATGGATTAAGAATGATTAGTAACCTCATATAATTTATAAAACATGGGTTCCTCTCATAGTAATCCTACTGTAAAATATGAGCTTTAAATCACTATGGATATCATGGGAACACCTGAAAGATGACTGGCTGCCATGGTGAAGACTGGCTGTAGGATCTAACCATCAACAATAGGTTGATTAAAATAGGTGTTTCTTAATCATAGGATCAACAATAGAATAAAATAGGATTATATCATCAACAACCATTTGTAACAATAGGAGCATGGGAGTAGTGGCCTATGGTCGTTCATCCCATAATTTGGAAATCCCCTTTTTTCATATCCCCCAGTATGGGCAATTTACATAAGTGGTACCCATGGCAACCCATGGCACATATTGCATATGAATGCATATGATATGTATTCAAAGGATTGGATACAGTGGATCGCCTTCGAAGCTGAATCTGTCTAGTCTCGTCTCCCCGGGAAAAAAAAATCACATCCCACGGAGAAGGACCCTGTGGGTCTGCCTCAAATGGACCCTCGATTTCGAGCCCGAGAGAAAAAAACTCTGAATTTACAAAAGCTGCATAAAATATCGTTGAATTGGGTGAATTAGAATTAGCTAACTAGCTGAATGACGCACAAAATGTAGCATATATATATATACGTGTATATATATATATATTATACGTATATATATATATATGTATATGTACGTGTATATATATATATATGTGTATATATATATATATTATACGTATATATATATATATATGTATATGTACGTGTATATATATATATAGCTCAGACATGATAATTAATGTACATTAGTATCACGTTCACATGTAGTATACTGGTTCAAATAACTGTTGTAAGTTTGAATAAACACACATCCAGGGTGAAGGCTTGCAGCTCTCTGGACATGATGTCTTGCTGTGATTTTTATCTCGAAGTGCGTTCCTCTCTGCAGCATGGGTTTATCTGAAAATATGGTAACTCCATCACTGTGATGGTTTATCATAATTTCCCGATTGAAAGTGTAACTTTTTTCGGGGGATACCTCATTTTCAAACAGATCCAGATCCATTGTTCATTGGTTGAATCCCCATATTTTGTACCTGAAAACATCATAGTTGGTTAGTTCTATCCCCATTCCCATTTGGGGCTTTCCTAAAATAGGGCTACCCCCAAATCATCCAGTCGTCATGGATGACCATGACTTAGTCTTGAAAAAACCCATGGTGACGACTGGGGGTCCCCCATTTTGGGAAAGACCAACTTGTTTCCCCAAAAAATATCATGTAGATCCTCATATCCGGGTTTCCTAAAATGGGGGTACCCCAAACCATCCATTTTAATAGGTTTTTCCATTATAAACCCCCACTTATGGAAACCCCCATGTGGGTTGCTTGTGAAACCATGGTCTGTTCCCAGCTCTCCGAGGGACCAAGTGCTCCTCCAACGAACCCATGGATTCTGCCAGCCATAGCACTGAATCCAAACCTGCGGAAATCTAAAATAGGAAAATATAGGGAATATACGGAAATCATGGAAACTTCATGGGAAAATATGGAAAAATACCCTATGAATGGAGATTTGAATGGGAAAATCAGCGAGAAAAACAGTTGATCGTCAACTACCATGTCTGATTATCAGAGGGTATACACCAAATTCGTAGTTTAAGTTTGAATTATGGGCTTGTCTGAACATAGGGTCCCTCTTTTCCATTTCATCCACTGGTTGCAGTAATCCTGGTCATTCTTCAAAATGGGGATATACCATGATATACCCATCATTGGGGATATACCAAATGGAAGATCCATTCTCAAACATACCATATATCCCCAATATTCCTGGTCAATATTTGTGATTCTTTGGGGAACCATGATATACCCATGACATCAGAGACACCCATATGATGATGACCGGAATTTGAGTTACCCTATTTCCAGACAAACCCATGTACCATCTGTTCTTGGACCGTCCAAAAAATGGTAAATTTGGATAGGACTGCTATAACTTCTTAAAATATAGGATACATATGTATGTATATATATATATAGCTGTGGTAGACTGACATGTTGTATGTGGTCTATAAACCCTATATTATATAACCTATCAACCTGACGGCTATTACATATAAGTTTGTCATAATATGGTTATTGTCCACTTACTAGCTCCAGAGAAAACGTATCCCTTTAATCTTGAAGGAAACTAACATAGATCAATAGAAAGCTATAAAAGGAAGTCTCTGAAAATGCCTCACAAATGGTTTGTTTTCGATATCTATGTTAGATTACGGAAGAGTGACCTGTTTAAGAATGGGATGCTTACCCCAGCTATGGATTGGTGAACAACCAGGTACCACCTGGGATCTGGTGCCATGGGATGATTCGCCAATGGCTGTGGTACCAACCCAAAGCATGAAAAACTGGGCTGCAGTGAGGATGGATCTGTGCCATTTATTGGGAATATGTCTATATATATATATATGATATGAGATATCCCCTTCATATGTCTATATATATATATATACATATACATATATGTACATAATATATGTCCCCAATGTCAGAGTTTAGGTTTCAACCCCCCTTTTTTTTGGTGCAGTGCAGCGCACCTTCGGGATCTGGGCACTGGGCTGCACGTCTTGTGCAATCACCAACCTGGCGAGCGATCATGGCGAGCGATACCCCCTACGGAATCCGGTACCGGAACATAGCGATAGGGAAAATTCACCATTTTTTATATTTTTTATAGGGATATATGGTGGTTAAATAACCAGATGGTATAGACCCTCTGGTAAACTAACATAACTATGGAAAATCACCATTTTTAGTGGGAAAATCCACTATAAAAGGTCCATTGTCCATAGCGATGTTAGTTTACCTGGGGGTAATCCCTCTAGTTGCGGATCGTCCAACCCCTCAACCCCTTTGATGAGCCCCGTAGATGAGCAAGCAACCAGTGGGAAAAGGGGGACATCAATCTGGGTATATAGTCTGTCATTTGTCAAAAACCAACCGTCATATCACAATATCAGGTGTATAGATAGATAGATAGATAGATAGATAGATAGATAGATAGATAGATAGTTAGGATAGGATAGGATAGGATAGGATAAGATAGGATAAGATAAGATAAGATTAGATTAGGTTAGATTAGGTTAGATTAGATTAGATTAGGTTAGGTTAGATTAGATTAGATTAGAATAGATTAGATAAGATAAGATAAGATGAGATAAGATGAGATGAGATGAGATAAGATGAGATAAGATTAGATTAGATAAGATAGATAGATAGACAGACAGACAAACAGACAGACAGACAAACAGACAGACAGACAGATAGATAGATAGACTGACAAACAGACAGACAGACAGACAGATAGATAGATAGACAGACAAACAGACAGACATATAGATAGATAGATAGATTGCATTACATTACATGACATGACATGACATTAGATTACAATACAATTGCATTTACATTTTTTTCATCACATATGTACCCAACATTCCACAGATCATTCCCAGGATGTTTCCCCAGTGTTCGATGAATCTCGCCAGGCACCAGCAAGTCCACCATGAGGGGCAGAGCACTTTGGACCTGTCCCTGTCGCGGAAAGGCACGATTTGGATGTTAGGATCTGGGAAACACGACTCCCCAGCTTTTTTGGAGGGGTCTATGTGTCCAGATACATTCATGTATGTATATACGTACACATATACGTATACGTACATGTATACGTATACCGTATAAGTATATGTATATGTATTGAATTCATTGTTGAGGTATAATGATGTCTTCAATAGTGTTCAATGGTGTTCATGGTCACAGACTTGAAAAGAAAATGGTGTCACCTCTCGAAGTCGCAGGGCAACAGCACATTGCCTCAATCCAGAGGTTTAAGAGAGGGCACCAGTACTCCTCCGACCGAACTGCAAAGCATTGTCCAACGAAAAATGCTAAAAGTTGTGATTTGATCATCGAAATTGATGCTTAAACCGAATCTGGATTGGCTTAATCAAAACATTTGACAGGAAATCGCATCTCTTTCCTGCAAAATCAAAAGTCGCACCAATTCCGGAGCACTTTTCCAGGGGAAATCGACAGACTCGACAGACCTATGGAAACCGCATCTTGGCATACCTTCAGCACGTCAGACGACCTAAGTCCGTGGCCCATTCCCACCACGCAGACCTTTGGTATAGAGCCGCATTTCTAGCCTCGGTGTTGGACTTTCCATGGCAAGGGAAGGTCACTGTGAATGGAACAGGGCCGGCCATCGGCCATTTTAGTGATACAACACACTGGGTCAAGCATCAAGTCATGAAGGCATCCGCTCTCAGACCTTGCGGTAAGGTCTTTTCTTCTCATCGGAGATCTCGAATACTCCAATTCTCATCATCATGCGAGCGACCCCATGCCACGCAACGAGAGGGACAAGCAGAAGCTATGAAGGACTGGGTGGTCGACCCAGAACAAGATGTGATGGGCGAATCATTCCAATCTTTGGGATTGAAAAAAAAATAAGACTGGTTGGAACCACAAAGCAGAAAGTGGGTGATATCATGATACCCGGATACCCTCTTTTCTCAACCATTTTCGAGGTAGCATCGGCTATACCAATGCGCAAGCTTCACCATGCTGTGCTTCTCAGACCTTGCGGTTGGATTTCTGATTCTCATCGCAGCTGCTCAAATACTCCAATTGGGGTCATCATGCACAGCTGGCAAAGGACATGACATATGCAACGGCACAAAGACAGAGGATGTGACCCGCTCCGCAGCAAACATTTGGATATGCATACGCAAGAACGCTGGAAGATTTGGGCCCCTCAGTGCATACAATCAGATCTATATATGTTTATGATTGTTTATGAATCATACATTGACGCATGATTTCTTTATGTTATTGTTTAATTATGTATTTATTTGTTTATCTATGTATCTATCTATTTATTCATTCATCTATTCATTCATGTATTCATTTATGGACTCATCTACTGATCTATCTATCTATCTATCTATCTAACTAACTAACTAACTATCTATCTATCTATCTTTATTTTTTTTCTTTCTATCCATCTATCCATCTATTTATTTACTATATCAGTAATATATCATCACATCATATATGAGAAATACGCCTACTGGCTTCATCACAATTCCATCCCTCCTAGGATCCCCGGCGGCCCTAAGGAGCCCAAATAGAAGGGCTCCGAGTCCAACCAAAGTCCCGGCTCAGTGAGCCTCGGGTCGCTGCAAAAAACTGGGCTGCGCCACGGGAGCAGTTTCACCGGGCGGCCCTGGTATTGGCACATCCCGCAGCTTTATATATATATATATATATGTATTTATATATATATCGCAACCCCAAAAAGATTGGAAGGGAAAATTCTCACTATGTTCATGGGATTTGATGATCTGATGTGTCTATCTTTTCTCATATACACACACGCATCAATATCATATCAAAAGCTACTCCAAGCCCTACCACTATTTCTACACCATGATGAAGACCTCTGGCAACTGAGAGCCCCTGGCAGTGACAAGTACCGCAAACGCTGAAGACATCTAGGGATCTTCCATTCATAGGAAACTCCCTGGCGCTGCAACCCACAATCGCAAACCCAAGCCCAAATCTACAAGTGGCCACTTCTAAGACACTAAGATCTGTTTCAACAAAGGCTTTCATCTGGCAATATTTTTACTTGGGATGGCCTTCCCATATCAGATCTCCAGCATCCAGCATCATCCAGGGCCATCCAGGCCTTCCCTTTGGTCTTTTCGAAGTCGTCAGCCAGCTTCCGGTTTTCCCTTTGCAAACATTGCAGCCTGGGATCAACCAAGGACCATCCCCTGGGACTCACCCTTTGTTTTAACCGGGCCGCGCCCGATAGAAATCGCTGGATCATGCTGGATCTATAGTAGTTGGGGAGAAACGGTAGTCCCATGTTTTTTGCGGTCAAGCCCAGCAATTTTTGTTGATTCAGCCATCTCATGTGACCCAGCCCCAATATCAACCCCTTACTTTGCTGAAGGGCATTTCAGCACTGGTTCTCGATGAACTTTGCAGCTCCTGAGGGAGTGGTAGCTGAAATTTTGGGGGTACACAGCAACCATCACCAAGGAGAGATTATGGGAATATCATGGGAACACAATAATGGGATATCGTGATATTGTATATTTGCGTGTTTCTGAAGTTGCCGTTTCAATGGGGAAAAATGATGATCAACCGTGGGATTTTGTTCAAACAAACCATGATTCACTATATTCGACCTCTTTAGGATAGAACACAACTCATGGTTCGCCTACCCTCCGGTACCAATCAAACATGGCAAGCCGCTAACAAAAAAAGAATTCCCGGTGGTCTTTGATGTCCACATCGTCTGGGGTATGCGGAATGCAGAAATGACAACCGTCACCTGATGGTTGATGCAACCATATCCATATATCATTGATATCCCGAGCTTTGTTCACATCCCATCTCTGTCGGTTTTGAATTTCGAGCTATAGCCATATCATCTACATGCGCCGTCTTTTGACAGCTTTTCGCATTGCCTTCCCCCGGAACCAAACGCTGATCAGAACTGGATTTGTCCAATAGGGAGCTCCTATTAGTCCACTGGCTAATCATCATCTTCCCAACGAAGCAACTTTGCGGGCTAAACACCTGCTAGTCTCCTGGAACTGCTTCTGCAATTCTTTTTGGGGCCCTTCCACCCGCAGCAGCTTCTCCACCAAGCTCTCTTTGGCCTGAGATTGGGGTCCATCCATCAGTATATGGACGAAGAAGGACCTCTCATTGGACATCATCAACGTAAGTGGGGATATAGCCAGAAATTCACAAGGAGATTGCCAACAAGTATGGTGATGTAGTAGTTTTATCTATTTCTACACACCCATAGAACCAACAATTCTAGCCATATATATATGTATGTATATGTATATGGATATAGGAAACAAGACAAGTCATGCGTATGCGGACTGGCCTTAGGACTGTTTGAATCCGCAACTGACGGTTTTTTTTTCCGTTGCGACTGTTTTCTACGGGGACACACCGTGGTGGCCGGATGCTTAAACAGTCAGACACTTCGGCGTCACACTCCATGTGTTCGCTCTACGGCTACGGCAAACCTCACATCTACGGCACAGGTCTGTGGCCTAGGACCGCACTAGTGGGCACAACTATGTATATGTTTATGTTGCGTCTTTTTGCTACATTCGCATTGAGTGGCGCAGCAGATTTTAAGGACAGATCGTCCTAAAAATAATCCAGATGTGCCTCGAAGATCGGGTCCTAGGCCTACTGTGGCCATCCCCAAGCTGTTCTGGTGGCGTAGCAAACTACACAACTCTTCTGGCACGCATTTTTCGTTGCGCCAGTCTCGCACAGCTTCCACTCAGAGTCAGAGTCACCCATCAAAAAATCACGCGCATGTGTAAACATCTAATTGGTAACTACATGATCTATATGGCTACAGTTTCAAGTCTTGTCACTTGATCTCAAGAACTCACTTTTTTGGGACTAGATGACCCTTGGTGGATGACTTTTTCAGGGCGTGCTTCATGCGCCCGATATCCGCCGGTCTTTCAGGATTTGAAGGTCAAGTGGATCAATGTAGACAGGGCCGATGTCCCGGTCTTCATGACTTATCTCGTTGGAGATGTTGTTCAGCCACCTGTCCAATTGGATGCGGGTCCCCTCCAGGTTGAGAAGTTGCCCACATTAGACCCCGAACGATCCAGTGTTTTTTTTCTCAAAAGCAGCATCTCCAGACCCTTCGGGTCGACAAACGCTGCCATAGGTGTCCATTCCATCCCACATGGTTTAAAACCATCAGAATCATGTTCCCCATAATTTGAGGTAAATCTTCCATTTCTGGACGAAAAACCTTCATGAAATCACTCTCACATGGTTTGAAATTAGCCATACCATTATGGCGAAATCCCTTTGCTGGACAAAACCACATCGATTATCAATCGGTGGCTTAAACACCTATAGAGTTGCACTGCATCACCGCCTTGAACCATCCAAAACTCCAATGGTTGATCATCATGTTCTCAAAAAAAAATGGCTATAAATTGGAGGTGAATCTACAGTTTTCACACAACACCCAAATACAATATACAGATATACATATATATATATATATGGGTATGGATCAATACCTATTAATACCATTTTTAGGGGGATGAACATCCATAAATCCCAGCTATTTTGATGTTCACCAGGGGTACAAGGTTTTGACGCACTGCCATATATACTTTATTCAGTTAATCTCAGTTCTATCCCAGTATATTCCCAGGATGTTCCCACAATAACCTCTTTAAGTTGCTCCCTTTTTTGTCCCACCTGTTCAGCCCATCCTGCACGATGCCCACCACCAGCTCCGACCGTGCGGAAGACGTCAGGAGCTCGGGGGGAACTTCGAAGGCGCCAGGGGCGGCGTGCTTTGGCTTCGGGCGCAGCGCCGGTGCGCGGGGTCTCCAAGGCTCATCCACCTGCGATAAAGATGGATAGATATAAGATATGACTAGATATAGCTATAGTTAAATATGGGTATATTCATATGATTTTGATATGTATGTAGATACGTAGATATGTAGATATGTAGATATGTAGATATGTAGATATGTAGATAATAGATATATAGATACAGATTGAGTATGTCGATTCATCTGATATCATAATGTGTACAGTAATTAAGGACATCCACTTACATTTGTTTTACAACACACATGTCTCACTTGGAGCCAAGTGAACCCTCACGCCCTTACCACCTGGGGTATGGCCCTTGGAGCATCCACCAGTTCCAGTGGGCGATTGATGTAGGCCGGCAGCCCGCACGCCAGCCTTTCCGCCCGTCCCCTGGGGCCCGGAGGCGGGGTCTTGGGAGGCGAGTCCTTCGCCGCGCGCGCGGGGTTCCCGCACGGTTGGATCGCTTGGGAAAGGTCTCCACCCGCCATGACTCAACGGCGCTCGGTAAAAAGTCGGGGGTTTTCGGAAAAACTTGGGAACCATGGAAAATATCTAGGTTTTAGCATGGGCCAATATGATAATAGTCATACAACCATAGATTTTTCTTGGGAATGAGTTGTGAGCCGAATGGGATGGGGATATGTGGTGATTCGTGGTGAGATGTGACTTCTCACTTGGATCAGACTGCAGCCCCCAAAGCTTGAGCGGCGAAAGCGTAAAGATGTCAAGCATTCACTATACCAAGTCAGGGTTCAGACCTCCAGAAGCTGATTCTGATGCATTCAGATCATTCAGTCCCAATCTCAGAAATTCTGTAGTCGTGGATTAACGAAGCACATATCCCGCGCCTGTGTTACTGCTTGGTTCACTCCATCTTGAAACCTTGGTGCAGTGTCTTCAACGACTGGTGGTCGGGCCCAAGGGACATGGTGGTTCTACAGGACAACCCTGAGAAATATGCGTCAATTGGGCATCATCCACACAGGGGAGAGAAGATATCGATAAAAAATGACACCAACAACCGGAATATGGGGATCAAGACCTACCTGGGGAAAAGAAATTATCCATAACAAATTCATAACCAGCTATATGTTGATCTGAAAACTCGAGGATTCCTGGGTTTGAATCTACACCGCATAGCTTCCGCCACCGCCTTGGCCGCCTTGGCCCCCAGTTTTCTACGAGAAGCTCTCGTCGAAGTTCCTGGCGCAGCCTCTCTACGGTACCTTGCTGGAGGCCGCAAGACTTGGAGAATGAGCGAAGTGTCTGGTGAGTACAATGTACATCTCTGCAAATATATATATATATTATATATTATATATATTATATATACATATGATATTATAATATACGCGCAACGCCTGGGCTTGCCCAGGCGTTGCAGCGTAGAGATTTCCCATTCCCAAACAAGTGTTGATGCAATTTCACAAAAATCCTCTGGGAAAAACAACACAGGTACTAGGGAATATTCAACTCCCACCCCCGTTAAACCTTAAATTCCCATGGGAAAAACAACAAAGGTACGAGGGAATATTAAACTCCCACCCCCGTTAAACTTTACGTTCAATTGGGAAGATCAAAACAGGTACTAGGGAATATTAAACTCCCACCCCCGTTAAACTTTACATTCATTGAAGATCTTCAAAAAGGGTTTAATTCTCCCACCCCCGTTAAACTTCTACATTCATTGAAGATCTTCAATGAGGGTGCAATTCTCCCACCCCCGATAAACTTCTACATTCATTGAAGATCTTCAATAAGGGCTTAATTCTCCCACCCCCGTTAAACTTCTACATTCATTGAAGATCTTCAATAAGGGTTTAATTCTCCCACCCCAATTTTAACTTCTACATTCATTCAAAAATCTTCAATAAGGGCTTAATTCTCCCACCCCCGTTAAATTTCTACATTCATTGAAGATCTTCAATAAGGGTTCAATAAGGGTTTAATTCTCCCACCCCCGTCAAACTTCTACATTCATTGAAGATCTTCAATAAGGGTTTAATTTTGCCAGCCCCCGCTAAACTTCTACATTCATTGAAGATCTTCAATAAGGGCTTAATTCTCCCACCCCCTTTAAACTTCTACATTCATTGAAGATCTTCAATAATGGTTTAATTCTCCCACCCCGTTAAACTTCTACATTCATTGAAGATCTTCAATAAGGGTATAAGGGTTTAATTCTGCTGATGATGATGATGATGATGATGATGATGCGTCGCCTGTCGTCATTGCGGGTCCGGGCAAAGCCCAGGCATTTGCCGTATATATACATATATGTGTGTGTGTATATATGTAAATGCATATGTAGACGTAAATGCATATGTATATGTAAATGTATATGTATATGTAAATATAATATAATATAATATAATGTAATATAATATAAATATAATATAAATATAATATAAATATAATATAAATATAATATAAATATAATATAAATATAATATAAATATAATATAAATATAATATAATATTTAAAAAAAAATGATATGATATAATATAATATACTGCAATATAAAATAATATAATATAGTATTAAAATAATATAATATAGTATTAATATAATATAATATAATATACTATAATAGAATATACTATACTATAATATAATATGATATGATTTGAAATGATTTGAAATGATATAATAATATATAATATGATATGGTATTAGATAATATAATATAATGTGATATGATGTAATATAACAAAACAGAATAACATATCATAACATAACATAACATAATATGACATAATATAATGTAATATAACATCATATAATATAATATAACCTAATATAGCATGACATAATATACCATAATAAAACATAATATACCATAATATACCATAATATAACATGACATAATATAATATAATGTAATAAAACATAACATAATAAAACATAACATAACATCACATTATATAAGAAAACATGGCATAACATAATATAACATAACATGACATAATATAATATAACATGACATAATCTAAAATAATATAATATAATATAGTATAATAATATAATATAATATAATATGGGTACAGTATGTCAACATGATATCGTTCTACATATTGTATGCACTTTCTCGAGCACTGGGGCCAGCACCATGCAAATCAGCGGCCTTGGATCCACCAGGGGATGCCATCAAATAACCACTCTCTCTATGGGAAAATGAGGTTCCAAAGTATTGGACCTTGGGGAATTTTCATGGTTTTCCCATAGAATTCATGGCTTTTCCCATAAAACTTGAGACAAAAGCGATGTTTTCACCCCACTCAACAGGCGCCCCAGCGCTAGAGGCTCGGAGCTTCTCAAGCTCAGCTTCCGCCGCCTGCCCCACATAACTAATATGGAATATGCTCAGTCTGGGTTTGCTAGAAAAAAGAGCCAACCCCCTTGAATTTCCTGAAGTCAACAAAAGAAAGTTTCTTGACAAAAACGCCGATTCCCTGATATTTGTATTGCAACATTCTCACGAGAATGGCTCAAAATGGGCCCAAAAGCCTAGTAGCCAAAGACCGAAATGGCTGGCTATTTTGGATGTCCATCACCCGCCCAAAGAAAGAGGGTTCATAAGTCTTTGCTGTCTTGAAAGTATTGACCAATTACATCCAATCACCGAAAAATCCAATCACACTCCCAACCTCAAGTATACTCGTTGGTCCATAATTCCCAGTTCATGGACCCATGGAGGATGATAATCTCCAATCTATTGAATAGTATAACGCCTGACAATCATCGACCACCATTTCTCAACCATATATATATATAGATAGATCCCAACTACATCTCCATCTTTTGATGGTTAAAGGCCCTATTCAGTCATGCAGCGCCAGCTACGGGGCGCACCTCGAGTTGTTTCCAATGCTTCGCATCTGTGGCTTTCACTTCGAGCTGCATGACATTGATGAGCTCGTGGATATTGCTCGCCGCCTGGTAACCAGGCTCGCTCGTTCCGAAAGATCAGACGAAAACATTCAGGGAAAAAATATCAAACAGGAACCCAACAAAAAGAACGTGTTTTTTGGTTTGTATATTGGTTTATGTTGTCTATTCTTTTCGATTGTGTCCATTATCTAATTTGTTTCAGTGATTTTATCTGCAGCACGAAACGTGCAAAACTTTGTTTTGGTCATCACCCACAGATCTAGCCAACACCTTGAAATGTAAGCAGCAACAACAACAACAACAGCAGCAGCAGCAGCAACAGCAACAGCAACAGCAGCAGCAGCAACAGCAACAGCAACAGCAACAGCAACAACAACAACAACAGGCGCCCGCGCCTGCTTCATTTCAATGTCCAGCTCCATCGCACGTTTCGTGGCTGCCTGGCCGGGTGGTTCGTCAATTGGAATGTATCCTCCGAGTAAGGGAAATAGAAGATGAACCTATAAGGAAATTCTTTAAAAAAAAGCAAGAATTAGAACATGGGTAGAACATTTTTCAACCCCCAGATTCGTCTCGCACGCCTTGTTTTTACACAGCATGGAATTGTCTCTGCTTTCGTCTTGTGGGAGCCGGTGACAGCATGGATCTGTTGAACATGCGCTTAAAGAAAATCTTGACAGTGACAGGAAACCATTGGAAAAAGTCAAACAATTACCATGCCGCCGCCGTGCAAGACTTGAGTCGATCACTGCATCACTTCTTGTTGGGCTTGGGACAGCAAGCCTCAATTCACTTCAATGTCAAAACGTGGACACTGCAGCTGTCCATTATTGTGTCGTAGATATAGACGCGGCAGGAATTATCATCGATTGAAGCTGGATGTAGCATAATGCCAGCGAGTCTATCTCCATCAGAATTGGATTACAGTATCACTTTTTTCATGAGCAACCAGATCCAAGCCAAACCAAGTCAGTTCAGAGGGCCCCCCAATGTTCTTTGAGTTTTTTCAAAGCCAACTATTTAACTATTTGGCCGACTGACTTCAGCTATGCGTATGGGTCGAATTGTGAAACTCTGGAGACCAAATTTATTGGTCTTCTCTTAGAATTCTGACCATCTGACCATCCATTTTTGTGGTTTTTGTGGTATCCCAAAGCTTTTGACCCATCCCCAAATGGGTACCCAAATAGCAATCTCGGCCGCTCTAAAAATCTTGGCATTTTCAGTGGAGGATCATCCCACGTTTTCGACGTGTGAATTGTAACTGCTTGGTGATCCTGGTTACGAAATCACCATTCATGAGTTATCCCATAATAACAATAATAATAGTAATAATAGTAGTAATAATAATAACAATAATAATAACTATTATTATCATATAAAATACAAAATAATAATAATAATAATAATATATAAAAACATATATATATATAATATATATATATAATATATATATGTATATGCAACCCCCCCAAGGCCTACCTTTTGTGTAGCAGATATGTTCCTGAATGCCTTGTTTTCCTTCTTATCTTATCACCTATTGTAGCTGGACACATCCTGCCCACATATGTAGCTGCAGCACAGCGCTGTAACATCTATATCTGACATATTCATTTCATTATATTTAATGTTTTCTTTTTTATCTTATCAGACATTTTTAATACATCAACACGAATTTTATATTTATGATCTGATTCTTGCAGGTCTGCATTTTCAATATTTTCTACAACATTTGGTATTTTTACACAACCTTTAGGATTTGCAGCAATATGATTAGGGGAATAGATGGATTGAAACTTTGTTATCTGTTTTTACAACAGAGTAGAGCATATTTTTTTTATTTTTGCTCATGAATACAACTTTGTGTAAGGTAGTTGTTTATAATGACTACTGGTGGAATTCATGTTTACTAAATCTTCGGTAGCACTTTGAAACCTTTTAGTTTCTACCAAAGCTGAGTTTTGTGCAAGATTAGGTGATATAGTTAGGGATTTTGAGATTTTACATGTTTATAGTGCAATTACTTTTTTAATCCTCCTACAATTTCATAACATTCCATCAAGCTTTGCATTGTAAATTGACAATAATCAATCATATTTTCATTTGATGTTAGTTGTTTTTTTTGTTCTTGTTAACCTACGTTATTTCCATTAGTTTTTTCTTCAGCATCTACCAGTTTTTGTACAAGAATTGATATTTTTTGCTGTAATGATTCATTTTTAAAATCTGTATAATGTAGATGATCTCGTATTTTCATTGTTTTAAATCCAGGAGTGCTTGAGTTAGATATGTTATGTTTTAAACATAAACGATTTTGTTGATAATAAATTAATAAGTAAAAAATATCTAGATCAGTTTTTAATATATGTGTAATATTATAAAAGTCTTATTTTTTATTAGTTCTTATTCTTTTGATATTTTTATAGGTAGCAGAAGAGTTTTTAGCATTGGGTGAATATGCATTTTTGCTTTGAAAGATCCTATATTTTTGTTGGTTCTTTTAGCTCTATATTCTGAGGATCTAGTTTTAAGTTAATCAATTTATTTTTGTTTTATCTTGGATATGCTTTTTCAGATTGAAATGTTTGTATATTTTAATGATAATATTCTACCATTTTGTGATGTGAACTTTGATAGCATTTCAGGTTTGTTATAGTCTATTTCCTTTTTTTTAAGCATAAATTGCGACCATGTTTTGTTTAAAGAAAGTTTTCTTTTTGCCGATCTATCTGCAACCCTTTGTAATACATTTTGTTGGGAAAGTTTTGATTGATCTGTAGATAAAGAGGTATTGCTGTCGGATGAGTTAAAGTATTTTACTCATGATTGTTCATTGTTTTCTTCTTAATTGTTAAAGAAATTACTGTTTAAGATTGCAGAAGGTTTTTTTCGATTTAATTAATTTTGATTATCATGAATCTAATTACCTTTATTGCAATTTTTCTGTTGTTCGTTATTTTTGCCAAAGTTGATTGATTTGCTTAGAAAGCACGGGCAAAACAATGTGCTTGAGAAATTTCTTTTACAGGGTAAGCAAGTTTATTTGAGGAATGTCCTTAGCAGACAGGCCGATCATTTGCAAGAAATTGCAAATCTGGTGATTAATATTGTTCTAAGCGTTTGGATGTTTAAGATTCAAGGCTCAGAAAAGACTTGTTCAATCCAACCTCTTTGGATTCAAGATTCAAAATTCGGGCTCAGAAAAAAACTTTTTCAATCCAACCTCTTTGGGTTCAACATTCAAGATTCAAGATTCAAGGCTCAGAAAAAACTTGTTCAATCCAATCTCTTTGGATTCAAGATTCAAGATTCGAGGCTCAGATTTTTTTTTTTCAATCCCACCTGTTTGGATCAAGATGCAAGATTCAAGATTCAAGGCTCAGAATTTTTTTTTCAACCCAACCTCTTTGGATTCAAGATTCAAGATTCAAGGCTCAGAAAAAAAAATCGTCAACCCAATCTCTTTGGATTCAAGACTAAAGATTCAAGGCTAAGAAAAAATTTCTTCAATCCAACCTCTTTGGATTCAAGATTCAAAATTCGGGCTCAGAAAAAAAATTCGTCAATCCAATCTCTTTGGATTCAAGATTCAACATTCAAGGCTCAGAAAAAACTTTTTCAATCCCACCTGTTTGGATTCAAGATTCAAGATTCCAGGCTCAGAAAAAATTTCTTCAATCCCACCTGTTTGGATTCAAGATGCAAGATCCAAGATTCAAGGCTCAGAAAAAATTTCTTCAATCCAATCTCTTTGGATTTAAGATTTAAAATTGAAGGGTAAGAAATTTTTTTTCAATCCCACCTGTTTGGATTCAAGATTCAAGATTCAAGGCTCAGAAAAAATTTCTTCAATCCCACCTGTTTGGATTCAAGGTTTCAAGATTCAAGATTTAAGGCTCAGAAAAAACTTTTTCAATCCAACCTCTTTGGATTCAAGATTCAAGGTTCAATATTCAAGATTCAAGGCTCAGAAGAAACTTCTTCAATCCAATCTCTTTGGGTTCAAGATTCAAGATTCAATGCTAAAAAAAAATCACTCCCACCTGTTTGGATTCAAGATGCAAGATTCAAGATTCAAGGCTCAGAAAAAACGTCTTCAATCCAATCTCTTTGGGTTCAAGATTCGAGATTCAAGGCTCTTCAATCCAACCTGTTTGGATTCAAGATTCAAGATTCAAGGCTCAGAAAAAACTTTTTCAATCCCACCTGTTTGGATTCAAGGTTTCAAGATTCAAGATTTAAGGCTCAGAAAAAACTTTTTCAATCCAACCTCTTTGGATTCAAGATTCATTCAAGATTCAAGGTTCAGAAAAAAAAAAAAATGGATTCAAGATTCAAAATTCGGGCTCAGAAAAAAAAAAAACTTTTTCAATCCAACCTCTTTGGATTCAAGATTCAAGATTCAAGGTTCAAGCCTCAGAAAAAAAAAAATCAATCCAATCTCTTTGGGTTCAAGATTCGAGATTCAAGGCTCTTCAATCCAACCTGTTTGGATTCCAAGATTCAAGATTCAAGGCTCAGAAAAAACTTTTTCAATCCCACCTGTTTGGATTCAAGGTCTCAAGATTCAAGATTTAAGGCTCAGAAAAAACTTTTCCAATCCAACCTCTTTGGATTCAAGATTCAAGACTCACTATTCAAGATTCAAGGCTCAGAAAAAACTTCTTCAATCCAATCTCTTTGGGTTCAAGATTCAAAATTCGGGTTCAGAAAAAAAACTTCTTCAATCCCACCTGTTTGGATCCAAGATTCAAGGTTCAAGATTCAAGGCTCAGAAAAAACTTCTTCAATCCAACCTCTTTTGGATTCAAGATTCAAGATTCAAGGCTCAGAAAAAACTTCTTCAATCCAACCTCTGTGGATTCAAGATTCAAGATTCAAGGCTCAGAAAAAACTTCTTCAACCCCACCTGTTTGGATTCAAGATTCAAGATTCAAGGCTCAGAAAAAACTTCTTCAATCCAACCTCTGTGGATTCAAGATTCAAGGCTCAGAAAGAACTTCTTGAATCCAAGGGGGTAGGATTCAAGATTCAAGATTCAAGGCTCAGAAAAAAAAAAAAAAACTTCTTCAATCCAAGGGGGTAGGATTCAAGATTCAAGATCCCAAAAAAGACTTCTTGAATCCGAGGGGGTAGGATACAAGATTCAGGATTCAAGGCTCAGAAAAAAAGACTTCTTGAATCCAAGGAGGTAGGATTCAAGATTCAAGATTCCAAAAGGAATTCTTGAATCCAAGGAGCTAGGATTCAAGATTCGAGATTCAAGATTCAAGGCTCAGAAAAAACTTCTTGAATCCAAGGAGCTAGGATTCAAGATCCCAAAAGGACTTCTTGAACCCGAAGGCCTTCAGCCTTGAATATTGAATTTTGAATCCAAGGGGGTGGGATTGAAGAAGCTTTTTCTGAGCCTTGAATCTTGAATCTTGAATCCAAAGAGGTTGGATTGAAGAAGTTTTTTCTGGGCATTGAATTTTGAATCTTGAATCCTACCTCCTTGGATTCAAGAATTCTTTTTGGAAGCTTGAATCTTGAATCTTGAATCCTACCTCCTTGGATTCAATAAGTTTTTTCGCGGCCTTGAATCTTGAATCTTGAATCTTGAATCCTACCCCCTTGGATTCAAGAATTCTTTTTGGAATCTTGAATCTTGAACCCTACTTCCTTGGATTCAAGAAGTTTTTTCTGAGCCTTGAATCTTGAATCTTGAATCCTACCCCCTTGGATTCAAGAAGTTTTTTCTGAGCCTTGAATCTTGAATCTTGAACCCTACCCCCTTGGATTTAAGAATTCTTTTTGGTATCTTGAATCTTGGATCTTAGATTTGGGGAAGAATGCATTCTGAATGCATTCTTTGCAAAATCCAAGATCCAAGATTCCCACAAGACTTGCAAAAAATGCAATTTTTGATCACCAGAAAATGCCCTAAGTTGTAGAGTCCAAAATGTTAAGAAAAACACTGCAAATACCACTAAATTTGCTTGAAATGTAGGTCTTGGGGGTACCATATATATATACATATATATATATATATATAGATGTACATATATATATAATATGTACATATATATACAATATATGTACATATATATATAATCTGTACATATATATATAATATTTGTACATATATATATAATATGTGTATATATATATATGTACATATATATAATATATATATATGTACATATATACATAATGTGTATGTATATCTATCTATCTATCTATCTATCTATCTACCTATCTATCTATCTAATCTAATCTAATCCGATCCGATCCGATCCGAATCGATCGATCGATCGATCTTATCTATCTATCTATCTATCTATCTATCTAATCTAATCTAATCTAATCCGATCCGATCCGATCCGATTCGAATCGATCGATCGATCGATCTAATCTATCTATCTATCTATCTATCTATCTATCTATCGATCGATCTTATCTATCTATCTATCTATCTATCTATCTAATCTAATCTAATCTAATCCGATCCGATCCGATCCGATCCGATTCGAATCGATCGATCGATCGATCTAATCTATCTATCTATCTATCTATCTATCTATATGGGTTACACAGTAACTACAGTGTCACTCATCAGTATTTTTGGTGGAATCTCCATGAAATCAACGAATCGTTTTGGGGATCCGCCCCATTTATGGAACCACCCCATACCCTCTGGTAAACATACAAAAAACTATGGAAAATCACCATTTTGAATAGGTAAATCAACTAATTCTATGGCACTTTTCAATAGCTATGTTAGTTTACCAGAGGGTAAATCCCATTAATATCCGATTGAATCACTATAAATCCCATTAAAATACCAGTCTATGAGCAGAGGGTATTTCTCGCAGCCCGGGAAGCATGTTGAATCTTCGTGGACGCTCGCGCGTTGGCCGGCGAGGCGGGCGAGGATCGCTTGGCGATGTCCGTCACACAGATGGGACGCCTGCCGGAAAAAGTCGAGGTTGAAAATGGCAGAGTTTTACTACTGGAATTATTACCATTATTGTCATTCTTATTGCCAAAAATCATCAGCAAATCCAGGTAGATTTTGGTATATTACTACATAATGTATTTAAAACAATTGTAAATCACCCATTTGGGAATGGTAACCATACCACCTATAAGAATGGTGATTTGGGGGATGGTTTATTGTTGTTTTAACCAGATTACTGGAATTATTCTCATTACTATTATTATTATTACTATCATTATTAATCATTATTATTACTATGAATATGAATGCTACTATAATTACTACTATTATTACTATGTTTTCTGCTATTACTACTATTATTACTACTATGATTCTATGATTATCATTGGTGACTTTTACAGCCCATGGAAGGTGACTATTGTATCATGGAAGGTTTGTATCTCTGGGATTATTAGAAGATACTACTGGGATTATTTGTTTGGGTGATTGTTATTGCTGGTAGCCTGTGGTGATTACAATAGGAATACAACCAATGGAATAATGTGCAAAACCCAACAATAAACCTACCACTGGAGATGGTAAACATAGCACCCGTAAAAATGGTGATGACTTGGGGATGGTTTATTATTGGGTTTACCACATTACCGGGATTATTGGTGATTATTATAACCCATGGTACGTGATTATATATAACTACTATGTGGGATTATAAGATAAGATAATGCTGGGATGATTGGTGATTATGAACTATCCCATGCTAGGGAAACCTTTCACCCAACTAATCTCATGAGATGGGAAAAGTGTGTTTTTGTAATGGCTCCAAGGTCCCAGAGGGACGTTGTTGAAGCCCAAAATGGTGGTTGGGTGCAGCCCCAGGAGCCGACTCACCTGGGATTATTCCAGTAAAAAATGGAGGTTTGGTCAAGAACCCAAACTTCAATCATGTCAACTCACCAGAAAAAAGATCGTCACTATTCTTGGTAGCTCCTGTTTCTTGGTCATCCCAGGGACCGCCCTGAGGCTCTGGCTTCTCATCACATTCACAGGCAGTAGACGTCCAGGGTTTGCAACTAACATCCACGAAGCTGAAGCATGGGATCACCTCCCTCTCCAATGTATCAAAGCAGGTCAGCGGGTTGATGGTTCCTGGGACCAGCAAAATGATTCCAGCAGACCTCATATTCACTACATGGTACGTTAAGACTCCGGATTACCAAGCATTGCTTGTGTTGCTTGACAACCCCCTTTCATTTGGTTGGTCCAATTTGCACTTCAATGGAATTGAATACACTGCCATCCTTTGTGGCTTCCTCTGCATCCTCTACGCGTCCTGTGTGCGCTAATGGCTGTGGTTTGTCTGGATCCGGTGGAACCTTTTCCACCCACCATCGTTCCGATCTCATCAGACCTGTCCAGAGGTCGACCAACGATTTTTTTGGAACATCTTCACTTTCCCAGGTAGAAATGACAATCAGAAATGTTTGACACCATCAAAAAGTCCTGGCTCTTCAAAGGTTGAAGAGGATCAGGAGGGTACAATAATTGCCATCTGAATGATCCTTGGCACCCAAGAATATCAAAGGGATCCTGACGTGCTAATGATTTAATGCTTCAGAATTAGGAACCCCAAGGGCTGGATGGTTGAGTGCTGAAAATGGAGAAAAATGGCCAGAGTTCTGGGTCAATTGCTATTCCATCGTTGAGAAATGTTCTGGTACACCCGATACCTTACAAGATACAATTGGGTGTCTTTACTATTTCTATCTACCAGCTATTTCTGGGTAGTCATTGGGGATTGTTCATTGCCCTCCGGTAATTTTCAATTTTCACAATTTGTCCCAACCTTCATATTTATGGGGGATTTAACTATGGATTTAACTAAGAATAGTGGGCTGGATAGATCATGTTCCCATGAAACCCTCCACGCCTCGACTGGAGCCATCTGCCAGGACTTCAGCGGAACCTTCGAAGCCACCACATCCACAGGGGGAAGGGATACATAGACATATGCATATATACACATATACACATACATATATACATACTGTATACATTTGCACATACACATACTACATACGTATACAACTTACATATATACCACCAAACGCTGGGCCATATATGTAAATGTATCTATATGTACATATATATATATATAGATACGTGAAAATCATTGATGTCCTGTGTAAGGAAAAGTACCCGTTCTGCAGATTCGAAAACACGAAAACGCCTGTTGTCGCGGCTGCTTATGTGCGAACAAGCCACGAGCCTGGACCACCTGAAAGCGCAGAAACAGGGGATTGGGCCAAGGAGCTGGGATTGGCCAATGGATTTTCTGCCATGTTGGCTCTCTTGATGGGTTGATATGACAATCCTGGAAAAGATCATGTTCAGCACCAAAGTCTTCAAACACTCAACCCCTTGACAATCCAAAAGTTCTGCCGGCTACAGTGACAGTATTCTCAAATCCCCCAACCTCCAAACACGGTGCCAGCACTAGGAGGAGCTGCCTTGGTTGACAAATGGGGTTTCGCAAGCGGCAAGGAGCCCAGTTAGTCTCAGATTGCAAGGAAGGGACACCAGCCGAACATCCTCAGCTGACGTGTCGTGCGATCTTTTGGCAACAACAACAACAACAACATGTCATGTTTTGGGATCGCGCCAAGACCTGAAGCCAGTGCAAACCAGCCTGAAGATTTTCGGTGCAAGAGATGCTCAAAAGATGTTGACAAAAATAAATCACTCAGAGGATCGAAGTCTGTCAGAAATTCAAGAAATTCTCAACAGGGTCCCAAAAATTTGGCAGTGTATAATATGGTTTATCACCATGTTTGAAATTAGAATAGCCATTTGAGGCTCCGCACTTTCAGACACACCCCAAACTGGAGACCAATGAATTCCGCTGAGCGTCCATAACAACAGGCAAAGTCTTCGCCTGGCATGGTCACCCATCGCAAGTGGGGATCATCTGATACAACCACCTGTTTCCAACCATGGATGTGCAAAATATGATGAAAAAAAAGGAAAAAAAAAACGCAAAATATCCCGAGAAGTGTCCCTTTTCGAACGGTTTTTGCAGTTTTCCATTTGTTTTCACCAGATGTTGATCTCGATTCAGTTGGTCATCCCCACCTGCTGGGGGGCCTGCCGTGAAGCAGTGGCACCCGGGCGCCCGGGGGGTTCTCCACGCTGAGCCAAGAAAAATGTGGGCATCGCGGCAGATGGGAACTACATGGAACTACCAGATGAATTTGGAGCCCAAACTGGAAGTTTCCCACTCCATTTTAACAGGATTTTCATGGATTTTCCATGATAAACCATCCATTTCGTGGTACCCTCCATTTCAGGACACCCCTTTTGCCAGGGAAACCATCCTGGCCAATGGGTTCACAATCGGCAGGCTTCAACAAGAGCCAGTAGTACCTCTGCAACTGCTCCAACCTCCTGACCACGAGCATTCGCGGTCCAACGCCGCTGTGGGGCCGCTGTCTAAGGCCGTCTTCCAAGAGATATTCGTGTTGATTCATCATCTTGCAGCCCTGAATATTTGACCATGAGGTCTCCAATAGTTTTGCGGACCCCAAAACCCCAAAACTATTGGGGGTTCCCAGTCAAAATGACCAATTTTGGTTGGTTTTGCCAAAATTTCATGGGAAACATCACCCCTGTCCTGGACCGCTTGCGTCATCCGAGGGCCGTCCTCCTGACGTCCCACAAAATGCCAATAAATCGATCCGGAAAAGGGTTTCATGTTCGAAGGAAACCGCAGGCGATTCGCAGATCCCAGCCCTAAACTGTCTTGGACCATTTTTTTTGACTCCAAAAGCTCCAAAGAACCAGCTTTCAATTTTCACCGAAGTGGATGAAGTCCCCCAGCCTGGTATTTGGCCACTTGGTCTTGGAGAGCTTTCAAACCTTCCTGCCCAGGGATTGATCCACTGGACTGGTTGGTAAGTTGGGAGTCCTATCCCGTAAGCTCGACTTGGAGAGTTGTGAGGAATTAGCCTCCAGTAATTTAACAGTTCTGGAACATATTGCCCATTTATAGTTGATCTACCTATTCTAAATGATGATTTTCCACTTCGCAAACTGTTAGTTTTGCCAGGGAGTACCCATTAATCAACCATTCACCAAGGTGTTTCAAAGGCTTCACCAGGTGATACTGTCATCCAGGTCACCTCCATTCTCTTCCCTTGAGCAGCGATGGAGGTCCGATGGATTTGGCCTTGGTGGTCGCGGCTTTTCTTCGGAATATCCTAGGGGTGTTCACGGGATTATTTCATTCGCGATATAATAGATGTCTATCTATCTATCTATCTATCTATCTATCTACCTACCTACCTATCGATCTACCTACCTAGCTATCTATCCATCCATCCATCCATCTATCTCCCTGTCCTATCTTATCCTATTTTACCCTACCCTATCTTATCTTATCTCATCTATCTGTCCGTCTGTAATCTCTCTATGTGTGTATACATGTGTATATATATATAGCATGTAATATACCATATATATATATATTATATATATATGGGTGATAAGGGGGGTGTCTCATAACTTGGAACCGCATTCCATATTGTCTCTCAATGAAATTACTAAGGTGTTTGCCAATTGGAGACAAACCCATCTTGATATATGTCATCTTAACGTATGCAGCAACAAGCTGAGACTCTTAGTCAAAGGAGCGCCCTTCAGTCAATTTCAAGCGACTTGAGGAGCAGAACCTTGCTGAAACGCCTTATAGCTGCTTCATAAATCCCAAGATGGTGGTCTAAACACCAGGCTTTGCGGCAAGATAGGGCCCTAATTCCAAGGGATAAAATCCAAAGCTGTTCTTTTTTCCCACGTTTTCTCATGGCCACAACTTGGGTAAATGGTTCCCCTTGGCCAGCGGCTTGAGGCCGACATTTCAGATCGGATGCCCTCGATGGCAGGTTCCAGGGGTTCCAACCTGCAGAAGCCAAGCTTCCGATGGCAGTTCCTTTCACCAAGTTGATTTGTCTCTAGGAAGTCGATAGCTTTAGGATCAGGATCCTCAATGTTATACATTCATATATACACATATAAATCATATATATATATATACATACACACACATACATAATATGTATATATATATACACTGTATATATTATATATATATATACACTTATATATATATATATACTGGAAATTCATGAACCCTTACTTCCAAAACCCTTAGAAAGGCCTGGTTTTTTTCTCTGGCCATCCCACTCCGAAGGCCTCGCAGTGACTTGCTCCACGAAGGGCTCCAAGGCGCGCAAGCCGCGTGCCACAGCACTGCCACGCGTCTGGGCGGAGACGCGCATGGATCAAGGCCTTGAAAGTTGCAGGGTTTATGAATGGTTCATGGGTGGTTTATGGATGGGGACCCGAGTTAGATTTGAGTTGAGCATAGGTCGACTGCTTGAGGCTATGGGGGTACCTCCAAAATTTCAGAATTCGTATGCTCGAATTTGGAAAAAAATCGGCAGTTTTCAGGGATACTTTGACCCATCCCTCCAGTTTCGCCTCCACCTCCTGCAAACGATGTTCCAGGGTGGACATGGCCTGGCAACTGCCCATGGTTTCCAGACTTGATCTGATAGCAGGACATGGCAAAACTCACCATTCGGGAAACTGAACGTGAAGCGGCTTGTCCAATGTCATCAATGTCCAACCCGACCTTCGGCCATGGCTCAACATCCTCCATCTGGAAATTGGGTAATTGGTGAATCTTAATGTCATGCCCACATTAATGAACCCTGACTCTTCATTCGGGGTGTCAACACCGTCAACACCCCCCTATTGGTAAACTTGGCAGCTAGCGAAATCTTGTTTTAACACTACCACGTTAACTGCCTGGTGGTCTCAACCCACTGTTGCTGGTTAAATCCCAATTACGATGCCCCAATTAGATCCTGTATAATTGCCAAAGGGTAAATTTTCAAGATCAACCCTGGAAGGCGCCAAGAAAATTGCCCACCTCTTGAGCCTCCTTGAGCCCCTTCAACTCAACCTCGCAGGAGGAGACCTGGGTCCCCACCTGGCAAACTCAGGGAAGCCAAGCAGACTTCAAGTGGGAAAAGACGGGTCAAAATGGAGGTGGAGCTGCTATGAAGTTGAAGATAGCAGGGTGTATAAGCTATAGTTGATGGAATCATTCAGTACAAATCAAAGCAGACCACATTTGCATCAACAGCAACTCAGGCGAAGCGTCGTGGCCAACCGTGTCGCCTCGGCAATGCTGGTCGTCAGCTGCTCCATCTGCTTCTCCTTGTCTTTCAAGTCCTGCTGAAATCGCTGCAGATCTGCCTGGCAGAGGCTTCTTCGCTAAGAAAACATGGGGAGAACCAAAATCAAAGAGGAAAATATGTGCGCAGTTTTAAGATCCGAAGAGTTTGTGTTTTCTGTTTTTTTGAATTGCTTAAACTTCCAATGGATGAATAAAAAGGTGGAAGTTGCATATCAATTGCAGCTGCATCCTCAACCTCAGGCTCCAATCAGATTTGCAGCTTTACAATGCAACAAATAGGAAATGCTCCTCTATGTGTGTATAATATATATATATGATTATATATGTATGTATGGATCTAAGCAGTGGCAAAATCATCTCTGTCCCAAAAATGCTTTCGAATGGACTTTGTTGGGAATGTGAACGCAACTTACCTCCGGTAATCTAAGATGGCAACGCAACAAAAGAATCCCTCTTGTTAAGGATTTTTCTTTTCAAACCTCCATTTCCTTCCGCTGATTTCCCAGTGCCTGGGCTTTCACTTCGTACTTGTCGAGGCGTGAAGTCAACGCCTCCCGTTTGGATGTTTTGAGGTGTTTGGGTCAGAACCATCCTTAGTGCACTCATTTGTAAATGCCATGTTTACTCCAGTTACAGTTGTGGGTTCTTAACCACTTAACAAGTGGAATGCACATTCAACATGCGGGGGTCGGTGGCCACCATTAACACGGTGGATGTGAAGAATTCGAGAAGTCCCCCTGTTTTTCATCAAGCAACCCATGGGAAAAGGGATGTCGATTTCAGTTGGCACCCCCAAATTTCGCCCCATGAGTTTCTTGGCTTGCCATCCAACTAACATAGATCCTGCCATGTTTTAGGGGGTTGGACTACTACTTTCCAACCTGAAAATACTGGCCATTCAGGGTCAAACCCTTAGTTGGAGGGATGGTATCTTCCCAAATTTGATCGAAGTGTGGCTTCTCCAAGTCTATTCAAAGCTAATTGGTGGTTTCAACCCCCCTGATAAATATGAAAATTAGTCAGATTGGATCATTTGGGGAAAATAAAAAATGTTCCAAACCACCAACCAGAAAGTCGATTTCCCCAAATTCTTGGTTTATCATGGTTGATCTCCCCAAATTTGGACCCAGGCCTCCACCAAAATGGAGTTCCGTACCCCTTCGGCAGCATCCTCCGTGGTTATCCAAGCAACGGAAACGAACAAAAACTCTACCACTATGAAGGTTTCCATAAATGGGGCTACCCCAAAATGCATGGTTTATAATGGAAAATCCTATTTAAATCTATTTAAATGGATGCTTTGGAGGTACCCCCATTTATAGAACCCCCCCCATATATCAATAATGGGGAAGTTGGCACAGTACTTGTCAATAAATTTTGTCTGAAAACTAGGTTACTTGAACACCAAACAAACACATAAGACAATCCTTTTCGAGCCTCAGCGACCAATGTTTTTGTCTTTCACCATCGGGAGTCAATAGTTTCTACAGGGTTATATAAGTTGATGGACCCATCAATTTTTGCCATTTATAATCCTACACCACGTACATCAACATGCGGATTCCAGCCCATAAATTATATATGAGTTTGTTTCCACGCTGAAATCCCATGATTGAAACCTCAGGAAACCCATTCAGAAATTGCCACAAGTTGAGGTCCCCATTGAACGATAAACATGATGGAAGATATTCCCGTTGCTGTTGGTTATACGATTATAATGTGGTAAACCCAAGAATAAACTATCCCTAATATGACCATAAATGGGTAGTGAAAATATAATCCCCAAATGATATATATATATATAGTTATATATAGTTATATCATGTTACATCCCAATATTACAATATTAATATCCCTAGGCCCTAGTATATCCCAATATGGTCAAGTCCCTACGGTAACGTTCACGTTCCATCTCCTCATCACTCCGTTTCTGCAGGGTCGCCATCTGCGCAGCCAGTTGCTCGAAGCGTGCCTAAGACTCGAAGCGGCAGGAGCAAAAGACAGAAAGATTGGAGTAAACACCTATTGTATTACATTTGATTACTGGGAATGGTAACCATACCACCTATAATAAACACCTATTGTTTAGTATTCCCAGTATATCCCATTACATCTCATTATATCCCATTGTATATTGGATATTATGAGATGAAATGGGATAATGGGATGTAATGAGATGTAATGGATAAACACCTATATGATATCCAGAATATGATTTGGATATACTGGGATATCATGTGATATACTGGGATATAATGAGATGTAATGAGTTATAGTGAGATGTGATATAATTGCATATGATATCATCGGATGTAATTTAATGGTATATAGAACCAACAATACGAGAACGGCGGTTGTGTCAACATGCCGATTTCATAGGGTTTCAAAACATCAAGTCTGGGGGTACGCCCTCTTCGTTTTTCACCAATGTTTCAATGCTGAAATGCCTGCAGTCCCATAATCCCCAAAAATGCACAGGCAGTGATGAAAATCCTGAAAACGAAACGAATGGAGCACCATTTCAAATTTCAAATTTGCTGCTTCCTTCAATATCAGCATCTTTGGAGTTGCTGTTGCCCCACTTTTAGATGCACCCATGTCAGCAACATGCATTTTCGCCATCTTTGCCCGCGTCTCCGAGGAAACGATCATTCCAGGCAGCCCACTGACCTTGTCTCTGGTGGTGCTCGTCCACTTTGGACAGTTTCCACTTCGGAAGGCAAAAACAGCCAACACTCAATTTGCTAGATCAGCTTTGATTGTTCATGGTGAGTTTCATGGTGAATATATATATATATATGTTTCATTATGTTTCTATAGCCATTCAAAAGCATAATCATGCTTCATGCTTCATCTGCACGGGATTTTGCTAAGGACATGCCCTGGACCCTCAGATGTCGCTGGTGGCACGTAGGTCATGGCGGAAGAAAAAATGCTCCTGGAGAGGCCACAAAAATGGCCAGGGGCCATGGGGGCCATGGCCAGCGGCCATGTGTATTTCCGGAAAATAAATATGAAAATAAATGAAAATGATAATTAATATATAATTAATCCAACTAATCATGGGATTTTGCTGAAAAATCCAAAAAAAGACCCAAGTGACTGCTCACACTGATGCTCAATGTCAAGCATGAAGTGTTCGATGCAAGCTGTTGTTGATCCATAGTTGATCCATATTGGTGACACCATGGCCTGAAAGCGTTGCATTCGCACCCAAAGCTCCCCTTGGTCGATGTCGCCCATCTCCAAGCGAGCCTGGATTTTTGGGGGGATGAGGGAATCAGTGGGCTGCTGGAGGCTTCGCTTCTCAGTTGAAAACACAAGAAGTGGCTGGTGGATTTTCACTTCAAGTTTGTAAACTATCTCTACCTTGAAATCAAAAGTTCCACACTTCAGTCGGCACCATGTTTACATATTTTTACTATTTGACCACTGGAAACCATGGCTGGTGGGTCCACTGGTCCATTGGGGCAATGGATGTCATCCCTGAAGGAGAGGAATCCATTGGTCCAGCGGCCATTCGCCGGCGCTTTGCTTGTGGCTGGGGCCACTGGGACACACGGGTCTCCCCTGCCAGTGGCGAGCTCGGACGAGTTCAGTGGATTCGGTTTTTTGGGGAAATCTACAATCATTGGATTGGTTTAAGGGAAAATTTACAGGAAACCTCCATATTTAGTGGTAAAAACCATGGTTTCCTGTAGATTTTCCCTTAAACCAATCCAATGATATAAGGAACCATAGGTTTTTGCGATGAAATATCAAGGTTTCCCTTCGACCGATTCTGGGACAACAGTCTGCGGGTGCAACTAGAATACACATTTTAAGAGGCACAAGACCTTTTCCTGCATGCAAATGTCATACCAATTTCAGATCTTCATCATTCTCGAGCTTCCAGCTCCAAAACACCAGTTGGCTTCCATTTTCAATAAGTTTCAATAATTTTCAATAATTTTCAATAATTTTCAATGGGAGGAGCCCCAAGAAACCATGGAAACCATGGTGCCATGGGTCTTGCCATGAACCAAAGGATGCCCATTTGCCTCTGCCTCGTGGAACTCGGAGGATCATCTCATCAATGTCCACCTCCATGGCCTCCATGGCTTGTGGTTTATGATTCTTTTACTCACAATGGGGATGAATCACCAATCATGGGACGGGGAATTCCCGAGTGATTCCCCAATGGCTACCATCACCCCTATGAAAACTGGGGAGACAACCATTCCCATATGGGTTTGTCTGAAAATAGTGTACCCCTAAACCCAATGGTTAATGATCATTATCCCTATTAAATGGCTATAATTGGGAATATACC